CAAATACAATAGACTTTTCGTAACAGTTAACTTGAGCATGGTACTGAGATAACCAGTCCATCCCAAGTATAACATCATACGAATGCATATCTAACACTAACAAATTTGCAAGAAATTGAAGCCGGCCCATATCTATAAGGATATCACCCTTACACTCTCGTAAAATTGCGCCAACTCCCAATGGTGTATAAATATTAAGAGGTTGGTCACATAACTGAGTCGTCATACCAGATAAGATAACAAAAGATCTAGACACAAAAGAATGTGATGCACCAGTGTCAAACAGTATACGAGCAGTTCTACCATGTATAGAAAACATACCCTCAATAGCCTGAGGAGCCTGCGCATTATGTGGCATGAAGTTATAAACTCTGCCATGATGCAACTGTTATGGAGGTTGTCCCGGAGGAAATGGTGGTGCTGGAAGTGCCGGAACATTTTGAACTTGCCCACGTGGCATCGGTGGGGCCGGTAGAGGTAACGGCTGATTAGGTCTCGGCTGCCCATACTGTCCCTGCTTAGCTTTGGGACACATCTTGGCCGGATGCCCAATCTCTCTACAGTGATAACAACGTCCCGTAAAAGGACCTGTCTGCCTTCTTTGTTGATTTTCCGACCACTGTTCCTGTCCGGTCTGAGGTATCCCACATTGTCTACCCTGATTAGGGACTCCATCCCTCTGCACATCTAGGTTTCCTTTGTTTTTCTTCCAAGGTTGATGTCCTTGAAATCTGCCTCGATCATTGGACTTGGTACCACTGCTGCTTCCTTTCTCCACTGTTTGGTAGTCTCGGTTAGTCCGCTTATCTCCCTTGGACTTCTGGTAATCACTCCTCATCTGGCAGTGCTGTAAGGCGGCATTAACCACCTGGATATAAGTAGTATATGCAGGACTACCTATGATCACCACTTTAATCGGCCATATTAACCCCTTCACAAAGCGGTCTCGCTTCTTTTCTTCCGTATTGACCTCCTCTGGTGCAAATAATGACAAATTAATGAACTTCTGTTCATACTCAGCCACAGTCATATCCTCCTGTTGCAGATCCAGAAATTCAGTCTTCATCGCTGATCTTACCGACATAGGAAAATACTTGTCGTCAAAGCGAGTCTGAAATTCAGCATACATCAATCTGGTCCTCTCATCGACAGTAGTAATAGACTCCCACCACTGCAATGCATTGCCTATCAGCATAAACGTAGCTAGCATCTGTTTCTGCACTTCGGTACAGATTACCATCCGAAGATGACGCTCGCTCTCCTGTTTCCACTGATATGCTAACAAGACATCTGTGGACCCCGCAAATGTCAGTGGATTCCCTTTGATAAACGAGTGACGAGTTTTGTCCCATGACATTGGCTGTGCCACTGGTTCAAGAACAGGTACTATCGGAGGAGGTTGCTGGTTTCGTAGAGCAGATGCTACTCCTGCTGCCACAGCTCGTGCAATGATATCAGCAACTTGAGGGGAAAATTCCTGATTCTCATTTTGAGTTGGGGAAATACTGCGATGCTGGTTCGCATTCCTTGTCCCACGCCGAGACATCCTTCTTTTAAATTCAGAAAAATCTAACGTCAGTACATTATAATGGACCGACTAAAAGAATACAAAGAACCCTAATACTTGGGCTCTAATTATCAGAATACACAACGCGGAAGTATAGTAATCACAGATCCCTAAGACACTCAAACCTGGAATGCTCTGATACCAACTGTAACACCCCCACATTTTCCACGCATAAGTTGATCAGGCTTATACACGAAAAACGAGGGATATCAAAAACAATTGGCAATATACAAGCATGGAATATAAAATGATGATAATAAAAGAATTTAGACAAGAAAGGAACACTAAATAATACAACATCCATCCATCATTTATTTAATACAGTACTTCATTACAACTTGGAAATCCTATGTCAAGGATCCCTAAATATAACCCTGAGAGTTCAACGTCAAAAGTAAATAAAAACTGAAACTGAAGTAATACATAAAACTTCTACCCTGAACTGGATCGTAAGAGTAGATGAGTTCGGATGGTGGTCCCACACTACTAACCTCAACCTTGGAACGGGTACTGACCGTATCCTGAAATAACAACAATGGTGGGTCAACCCCACGAGCAAGTCCTCTCTACTATGACCCAAATCAGAGAATCAAATAAATTAATCATTATAAATCGGTTGAGTACTATATCTGTATACATTCTAAGGGAACTATCCCATGTATAACATGACCTCAACCAGAATAGACGGTGATCACTTAGACTCACACTAGGTGGTTAAGTGTCGCCTTTCCCTACCCGGGAAATCAGCTATTATACATGGTGCACGGTACTGACAACACAGACTATGACGAACTACACAGTGATAACACCTCTCAAAGTACTGATGAATATACTGAGTATATCAATTAGACAACACATGCCAACAATATTAATAAATATACCGAGTATGTCGATTAGGCAACACATGCCAATAATATTAAATCACATACCCCGACAGCCACACATCTGTCTATCGCAACGAATGCATAGGGTATAAATGAGTCTAAACTTATTAGCCAGCTCACATGGTTCTATATGGCAACTCATCCATATAATATAAATGTGACATAATTAAACAGTCCATTTATTTCCTGAAATGCACACAGCATAATAATCATGGTTTGTATATCATTAACAATATAAATAATCCTGCAATGTATAACGGACAATTTATTTGAATTAAAACCATGTAATCATTTAATTTTAACATTAATGATTTAATACTGTTTAATAAAATAATAATACAATTAATGATTAACAATGTCATTAAATTAACTACATCCGTTTAATGGTGATCTGTATTGAAAACGATACAATTAATATTTAAAAATATTAATCGGTCATCATAATAACTAACGGTTAATAAAATAATAATTTAATGTCCCGTTAAACCCGTAAGTACCAACCATAGGCCCAAAAGTGCAAGTTTAAGGTTCTGGAAATTACAAAACAGGCCCTAGGGGTATTTTGGTAATTTTCAGCAGCTGACCGGCGCTTCACGCGCCCCCACGCGCCGCCCTAAGCTTCCCCACGCGCAGCCCTATGTTTTCCACTCTCTCACGCTCTCACACGCGCCTCCACGCGCGTCTGGCGTCAGCCACGCGCGCGCACGCGCTCCCACGCGCGTCTGGAGAGTTCCACGCGCGCGCACGCGCTCCCACGCGCGCGTTGATGGCTTCCTGCTGACGTGGCATCCTCCGGTTGGTTGGCTGCATCACCTTTCCTACATGCGCGCCACACCGGATCAATCCACCTATGCTCCTTTCATCCTACGGCTGATGATTAGTGCGCACCATCATATGGTGTCCCGCGTTACATCGAATCAATCTAAGGATTCACAACCCATCTAACGGCTGCTGATCCATGCGCATGCTTGTTACAATACACCGCAACACACCAGATAACTCCGGTCACCTTCTTCACTGCCGGTGGCCGGAAAACTCGCCGGAGTCTCGCCGGAAATTACAGAAAATGCCCGGAAAATTCCTAAAAATTCTAAAAAAAATCCCTAATGCCTTAAGGAAATATTTTTAGATATTTTGAACATCATAGGATAATAACTAATTATATACCATCCTAAATAATTAAAAATTCATTAATTTAATAAACTAAAAAAAAAATCATTTAATAAAATTTAAGCATGCTCTCAATGCCCCATCATAATCTAAATAATTTAAACAATTAATTTATGGATTCAAAGGGGAAAAATAGATAATAACTTGCCTTTTTGGATTTGAAATAAATCCGCCGGTTGCGCGTAGTCGGGTAAATTCCCTACACCGGTCCAAGCTCCTTTCTTTCTCTCTCTTCCTTTCCACACTCTTACAATGGCTCACTAGAATTTATAATTTGTGTTTAACTCCCTTTCCTTCCTTCTAAGGTAGGCTAGCTAATTTATATACAAATTATATAATATAAATATTACAAATATCTAATTTTTACATTTACTAACCACCTTCCCAACCATATGGCTTCAATTCCACCCATAAACATTGATGAAATCCTATCCTAATCTCTAATTTCATCATGACATTGGTTTAATACTATTATTATTATTATAACTATTATTATTATTATTAATAAACTTTTATAATTATTATTATTATATTATTATTATTATTATATACAAATTAAATACTTTAATTAAATAATAATAATTAATCTAAAACATAACCAATAAAAATTTCAAAACTAATCATTATACTATATAGAACATAAATCAATATTACATGCACAAATAAATAAAATTAATTAACCTAACACAAAATTAATTTAAATACACTCTTTAAAATTACGGGGTATTACAAGACGGCAATCCAAACTTATGCTGAAGGGCACGAACTATCTCGTCGTCACTTTGAGGATTTTCTTCTTGGTTTCCTTGACTTAATGCCCCTTGTGATTTTGCACTTTCGGTTGAAGTCATTGTTGTAGCATGGTGCGTTTCTTAATGCAAGTCTTTCGAGATGATGCTTACAATGAAAGATGAAGCTATTTCATCATCCGAGTTAGGAAGTATATTGTCTTCTTCTTCGAATTCACTTCTCTCATCTTCTTGAAGGTTGTCGGATATATCAGGAACATCTTTTCTAGCACCATGATTTTCTATGTTAAGCTCCATGTCGTGGGCTCAAGTAACGAGCTCTTCAAACGTGCAAGGCTTAATCCCTTGTAGGATGTAAAGAAACTTTCAGCATATGCTTTACATACATGCTTTAACTGCAGGAATTTCAGACAAACGATCCTTGCAGTCAAGACTTAAAGCTCGCTAACGGTTTATGTAGTTAACCACGGGTTCACTCTTTATTTGTTTTGTATTTGTATGCTCCAGTATACTAATAGTATGACGAGTGTTGTAGAAACGGTTAAGAAATTCTCGTTCCATCTACTCCCAACTATCAATACCTCCAGGTTTGAGGTCTGTGTATAAATTAATTGCATTCCCTTTAAGGGAATGAACGAATTGCTTGACAAGGAGATCTCCGTTTGTACCAACATTGCCGCAAGTTTCTACAAAATGTACGATATGTTGCTTGGGATTGCTTTTTCCGTCAAACTATTGAAGCTTTAGAGGTTGATACCCAACCGACAATTTTAAGATATCAATTCTTTCTGTGTAAGGCTTTGAGTACATGCGAGCGCTTTGAGGAACGCCACTGTATTATTCTCTTATGCAATTCACTATCATGTCTTGAAGTTGTTGGACAGAAAAAGAGGTGACGGAGGCAGCATCAATTGTTGGATTGGCGGACATGTCATTTTAATCATCAATTGGAGTGTTCTCTTGCATGGAGTTAGAATGAGGAATTTAGCCTTTGCTTAACTCAGCATTGTCGTCACGTAATTTTAACTTTTCTATTAACGAGGCAATTTTCAGATCTTGTTCCTTGAGAAAGTATTGTAATCTTTCAATTGCACGGGCCATAGTCGTCAATTGCTTTTCGTATGAGGTAGTACTCGTCATCATGACTATCATAGTGTTGGAGTCAGAAAAAATATTTGGCCTTGGGTGGACCAGCCTTGAACTTCAACTTGTGACTGGAGCAACCTTTGAGGTTATAGGAATCTTCCTCCTTGCCCCCAGCGAGGTGAAGGCTTTATGAGTTTGAGTTGTTACTTTGACAGATTTGGTGGAATCGACTCTCATCTCATCGTCCTATCTTTTGGCAGGAACGAATGCTTTGACCATGCTCCATATCATTGAACTTGTAGGGATGACTGTACCACTTGACGAAGTTGCAACCTTCTTGCCACCTTTTGTGGTGGTAATGATGTTGTCCTTCACGACTGCGATGTTTTTGGGGGTATTCTTACTCTTCGTCTAAATCTTGTTGGAAGTCATAGAATCTGATGATGAATTTGTTGAGGATTTGATGTAGGAGAAAGAGATGAGAAGCAGAGAATGTCCCACCGGGCGTGCCAGAAATTTGTATACACAAATTTTGTAGTCTGCAAATAAGAACAAAATATGGAACAAAAATAATATTTTATTAAATTGAAAAAATTGGAGTACAACCCTCTATATATTCTTTACAAAGAATAAGGTCCTCTGATTCAATCTTCTTTTTGGTTGGTTGGATTCAAGGGCTGCACGAGTTTGATCTTGAATCACTGTGGAATTTGGATGAAGAACGGTACGATTTAATATGCTTGTTGTTGATTATCGTGGAATTTAATGAAGAACGGCACGATTTGATGTGCTTGGTGTTCTTCGTATTTGGGTTTGGATGTTCGGGATGAGAGTTTCTCTTTGGAATTCTGGATTTCTGAATTTTAAATTTGTGTCTGGATTTCTGAGTCTCTGAATTTCTAAACTTCTGAATTCTGAATTTGTGTCCTTTGTTGAATTTGAGGAAGAACGATACGTCTTTGGATGTGCTTATTGTTCTTTATCTTCAGAGAGGAGATAATTTGTTGAATTTGGTGAAGAACGGCACGACTTTGGATGTGCTTGGTGTTCTTCACCTTCAGGTTTGCCCTTGGGATTTCTGGCCCTCTAGATTTCTGAGGACCTTCTGGATTTTTGAGTCTCTGGATTTTTGGACTCTGAATTTGTGTATTCCCCCTTCTTCCTCCAGGCCATTTATAGGCTTCTTGGGTTGATAGGATGATGACATGTGTCATTTCCTGATAAGGATAAAATTATAACTGGACCGGGCCGGTTAATTATTCCAAATATATTTTATTAGGAATAATTATTATTTATTTAACCATCTGGCTGAATTAATTAAATAATTTAAGTGGACCAAGCTTGGGCTAATTAAATAACTTAATTAAACATTAGACCCACATTTAATGGGTCCATTTGTCAAAACCAAAGCCCACTAAAATTTTAGTGTCTACAAACCCTTTCACTTAGTTAACAAATAATTAAAAAAAATATAAACGGCCAAATATAACCCTTAAACTAAAGTTAAATGACCAAAATAACCTTCGTCATTCTCTCTAATTTGCACCCTCACCACCACCACCACCACCATTTTTTTTTTTTTTTGAAAGGTGACTGGATCTATTGAGCTCGAAGGATGAATCTTAAACTAAAATTAAATGACCAAAATAACCTTTATCATTCTCTCTAATTTGCACCCTCTATCCTCACCACCACCACCAACTTTTTTGTTTTTTTGAAAGGTAAATGGTTCCATTGAGCTCTAAGGACAAATCACAAAGTCGCAGGAGTAGATTGAAAGCCCTAATAGAGAGAATTTTTCAGAAGCACCACCAACAACCTTATCACAGGGGCGAACTTACCATTGATCAGGAAACTTTGTAAGCGACTGAAACAAGAGGGCGTATCAGAGGGATTCTTCTAAAGAGGTGTAGGCGGCGGCAACACCAACTCAGCCGACGAGGTCGAAGAGGTGTAGGCGGTGACACCCAACTCGTCGACCTCCCAACCCTCTTTGATTCGCCTTTCAACCGACGTCGATCTCAAGATCCAACTCACCCGATCTCTTCGATTCACCTTCCAACCCTCTCTGACTCGCTCTCTTTCTTTCTCTCTTTCAAAATCCCTCCACGACGACGCCGTTCTACGGTCGCCGTCGAAGATGAAGTCCCTACGAGTCAAGGCTCGAAATTTTGATAACTCGGTCACAAATTGGGACGATTGAGTCAAAGAACTCGGTGATAGTGCTGCACAGGATCGTTCTGGTGCTCATGGATTCGAGCTCGTCACTGGTGGCGTGTGTGTGGGTATGACGGTGGTTGTGGTGATGTGTGTGGGTATGACCGATTGTGGCGGTGTCTTCTTTGACCTTGATGTGGCGGTGTTGTGTGGGTGTTGTGATGTGGCGGCGGTGTGTGGTGTGGCAGCGTGTGGGTGTTGCGGTGTGTGGTTGTGGCGACGTCTTCTTTGACCTAGAGACGGCGTGCTTGATGTGGCGGTGGTGAGGTAGTTGCGTTGTGCTGTGGTGGTCGTGGGTGACGGATTACAGAGTTAGGGCTAGGGTTATTTTTGTCAATTAGCAGATTCAGGAGTAAATATGACTTTTAAAATCCCAGGTGCCATTGTAAACCAATGCATTACTGTCCGTTGAGTGACATTGGCCCATAACTCAGGCCGTGTGAGTGCAATTTACCCAGTATTATATAAAATCCATGAGTCTATTTTTTTCCCTTTCTTTAATCAGTAGTTGATAAACTCGGATCACAGTGAACTTTCATAATGGACGCATAAAAGCGTGGAGTGATTATGGACTTGTTATTAGATTGAAATTTCTACTAATGAACTAATGACTAACAATCCAACCACGACCGATTCTTCCATGCAGTAGGTGCAATGTCAGTATTATTAATTTCTCTTTGTTGAACAATGGATAATTTTTATAATAAATTCTTGGATTTTAGTTAGTTGAGTTAGGTGATCAATTGATCTTTAAAATTACTAGTTTATAAATTTGTCTTGCTTTTCTCTCGCTCACCAATTTGCTCTTCTGTTTCTCATACACAACTTGTGCATTTCGGAAGCTTTAAGGTGTTCCTCCTATCTGTAAACTTTTCCATGGCAATGTCCATGTTAGGCGGAAATGAAGCTTCTTCCTCCTCTGCACCAGTTCAAAAATGGACATATGACGTGTTCATAAGCGTGAAGACACCGGCAAGAACTTCACCGATCAACTCTATTCTAGGGTGAATGGTGCCGGAATCACTACGTTCAGGGATAAAAATGAACTGAAAAGGGGATCAAAAATCTCGTCCAAGCTTTTTGAAGCTATTCATGGATCCAATGTTTTCTTGGTTGTTTTCTCCAAGAACTACGCAACTTCCAAATGGTGTCTAGATGAACTTGTGGAGATAATGAAACGCAAAAACAATTTCCTCTGTTGGTAACGGTACTACCCATATTTTACAAAGTCATTCCATCAGGTACGGATGGATTTGGAGTACTATTTGAGTGTCCTGTATCTCTTCTGTTTGTTCTGTGTTTGCTACTGTTGGTTGTGGTTTCTCTTAACAATTACAGTATATATATATATATAAGCCAAATAAATTATCATTTTGCAATCATTATTATCATGGCTTAATAATCTCTTCTTGAATTTTGGTACTTGCATGTGGTTCTTTTTATTTCTTTTTTTAATTTATTTATAAATTTTCAGTTGTGTGGAAACAAACTGGAAGCTTTGAGGAAGCATTTGTCAAACACCAAAAGGTGGACATAAACAAGGTGTCAAGTTGGAGGGAAGCTTTGGCTGATGCAGGGGAATTATCTGGGTGGGATTTAGATGCCACTAACGGGTAATATTAATTAATAAATGCTTATGCTTATATTTTGATTTCATTGGCATCATCTCCAGTACATGCTTATACAAATTCTTATATGTCAGCTGAAGTGGCTAGAACATAACTTCCTGAAAATTGTTTCAAGTTTGTTAAATTCCATATTCCTAGTTTCATGTTTTCACTCATTTTTATTGATTTTGTTCGCTATTTATAAATCCATATTTTATATTCTTATATGCTTATATTTTGATTTCCTTTGCATCATCTCTTATGCTTCTACAAATTTAATCACCCTCTCACTGTAAAATACAGCTAAACATGGCATATTGGTATATTACTGGCCCATAAATGATATAACAGTCAGTTGATATGTTAGTCAACTTAGTCCAGTTGGCATTCTATATTTTTATTTGTCAGGAACTTCCTGAAAGCTTATTCAAGTTTTTTTCTTATTTTTCATCTTTATTGATTTTTGCCTGATATATACACACACACACACACACACACTTATCTTTCTTGAAACATTATAAACAGGCATGAAGGAGAGCTCATCAAGAAAATTGTTGAACAAATTTTGAGTATAATGAATCACACCTACTTACATGTAGCCAACCACCTAGTTGGAATCGATACTCGTATGGATTACATAAATTCTCTGTTGAGCGTTGAAATTCCTGATGTCCTCATAGTGGGTATATATGGGATGGGCGGAATAGGGAAGACAACCCTTGCAAAAGCTGTTTTTAACCATTCCTTCCATAGTTTTGAAAGCAAAAGTTTTCTGGCAAACATCAGACAGAATTCAATGCAGAATGAAATAATTATTCATTTGCAAGAGCAGTTTCTTTCCGAAATACTACAGATAGATGCCAGAAAAGTGCGCAATGTTGATCAAGAAATCAATGTGATAAAAGATAGGTTGTGCAATAGAAGGGTTCTTCTTGTTCTTGATGATGTGGATCAACTAGAACAACTAATTGCATTCAGTTGCCAATCAGACAGTGTCAGAAAAGAATGCTTTGGTCCCGGAAGTAGAATCATCATAGCAACGAGGCACCTGCATTTGCTAGCACGCATTGAGGTAAATAGAAATTATATGGTTGAAGAATTGGATGCCGATGAATCTCTTAAGCTCTTTAGTTTGCATGCCTTCGAGAGAACTGGTCCTTTGGAAGGTTATGTTCAGCTCTCAAAAGATGTAGCAGGTTACTGCAATGGATTGCCCTTAGCCCTTGAAGTTTTGGGTTCATGTCTAAGAGAGTTCAGAAGCATAGCTGAATGGGAATATACATTGGAGAAATTGAGAAAAAATCCTCATGCTAAAATTCAAGAGAAGCTTATAATCAGCTTCGACGCATTGGATGATTATGAAAAGGAGATATTCCTTGATATTGCATGTTTTTTTATTGGAAGAGATGAATACGACGTCACAACAATACTAGAAGGTTGTGGTTTTTACGCAACAAGCGGTATTGGTGTCCTCACTCGTAGATGCCTTTTAATGATAAACAAAGGCAAGCTTATGATGCTGAGAGACATGGGAAGGAAAATTGTTTACCAAAAATCTGTTAAAAATCCTGGACAACGTAGCAGATTGTGGCATTGGGAAGATGCTCTTGAAGTCGTAACAAATTGCAGAGCAACGCGTCAACCGAATTTATTTGTTTTCAAGAATTCATGTTGAAGTGAAGAAACCAATGCAACAACTATAATTATATAAACATTAATGCTTATGCTTATTTCAATTTCTTTTCACTTGCATAAACATAAATGCTTATGCTTCACATGTTCTATCAGGGAACAGACCAAATTGAAGGCCTCGCCTTAAATACGGTTGGACCAAATAAAGTTGTTTTGAGTGGTGAAGCATTTGCGGGGATGCACAAACTAAGATTGCTACAACTGAAGAATGTAAACGTCACTGGAGGCTATGAACATCTTCCTAAAAATTTGAGATGGCTATTAAAAGGAAAAGACACAGAGATTTTCCTAGAAAGTTCTGAAGCTGGTGAGGTGTGTCAAAACATAAAAATACTCACAATAATATTAAAAGTGATTCAAACAATCTTTCTATATGTTAAAATCAGTTCACCATCTCTGTGTGTGCCTGCATTCAACCATATTTCGTTTTCATGGTAGAGCCACAAAGGCAAAACCTGAATTTGCTGGCCCCACCTAGAAAAGCATGTTATATGATCAATACATATATGTATGGACCAATATTATAATACTCATACCATGCATTAAGATAAACTAAACAATTATATATTTCATTATTCTCCTACAACTTCAACTTCATATGTTTGTTGTTTTAGACCAAGCTATTCTAGGGCTTCTAGAAAATTATTGTCTTTACCAATTGTTGAATGGGCCGCTGTTGGCTTGTCTGTTTATTGGCTTGTCTGGGACTCTGTTACTGGGGTTTGGTCTTTGTACTTTTAGCATTTCAATTCATTTACAGAATTACTTACCTTTCCGGAAAAAGAAAAAAATATATACTCGTGTATAGATAAAATAATTTATCAAATAATAAAATAAGTTATCAATTAAAATAAATCATATAAGTAGTTACCAATTAAAATAAACAAGGTAGAAGAATTAAATAGGTAATCGTTTAATAATAATTCAATCAAGATGTTAATTTCAAATCTTTAAATAAATTACCAATTAAATTAAATAGGTAATTGTTTAATTAAAATTCAATCAAGATGTTTCAAATCATTTATAGATAAAATAATAAAATAATTTACCAATTAAAATAAACAAGCTACAATAATTAAATAGGTAATTTTTAATTGAAATTCAATCAAGATGTTAATTTTAAATCATTAAACAAATTACCATTTAAAATTAAATAGGTAATTGTTTAATTAAAATTTAATCAAGATGTTTCAAATCATTTATAGATAAAATAAAAAAATAATTTATCAAATAATAAAGTAAGTTACCAATTAAAATAAATCCTATAAATTGCCAATTAAAATAAACAAGTTACAAGAATTAACTAGGTAATTGTTTAATTGAAATTCAATCAAGATGTTTCAAATCATTTATAGATAAAATAAAAAAATAATTTATCAAATAATAAAGTAAGTTACCAATTAAAAATAAATCCTATAAATTGCCAATTAAAATAAACAAGTTACAAGAATTAAATAGGTAATTGTTTAATTGAAATTCAATAAGATATTAATTTTAAATCATTAAAAAAATTACCAATTAAGTTTAAATAATAATTATTTAATTAAAATTCAATCAAAATGTTTCAAATCATTTATAGATAAAATAAAAAAACAATTTAGTAAATAATAAAATTGGTTATCAATTAAATTAAATAAGTTACATATTAAAATAAAATAGGTTATTTAATAAAATAATTTACCAAATAATAAAATAAATTATCAATTCAAATTAAATATGTAGTTATTTAATTAAAATTCAATCAAGATGTTTCAAATTATTAAATAAATTATCAATTAAAATTAAACAGTAATTGTTGCACCAACACATCTGTTTGTTTTCTCTTTTTCTTCTTCTATTTTTTTTTTTCTGGTGTGTGTCTTATGTTGCACCAACACAGCTGTTTTAATTTGACCACTGGAACATGTTATTTGTTTTAAAGGATTAAAAAAACTAGGAAAATAACATAAATGTAAAATAATTAAAAAAAAACACATTTGTCACTGCTGGGATTTAAAAATAATAATAATCATATTAAAATAATAAAAAAAGCTCGCAGCCGTTCAGTCCCGCCGGCGGCTATCAAACCCAATCACGGCCAAGCTTCTTCATAACAGCCATCGCCGGAATCGCGACTTCTTTAGTCGCTGATTCAATGCCGTCCCGAACCAGCCGTTTCCACCGGCTGAACACACCGCCGTACGTGTTCCAAGCACCGCCGCAAGCCCAACGTCGAGCGTCGCTTCATCCGCCGACCTCCCCATTCTGAGCTCGACGCCGCCTCCATCAAAGTCGAGCTAACTGTCGCGAGTTCACCGTCACAGCTCGCTGCTCACTGCCCTAAGCTCTCCACAGCCGAGCCAACAGCCAAGCTCTCCACAGCCAGCTGATTCTTGCCCGCCGTCCATCTCCACTAACAGCCAAGGAATTCTGGGGCCCAATGATTCATAAATTTTCAATTTTGTTTATATTTTATACAATTGACAGTGTTTTGTGCTTTCATGTGTCCACGGTGTGAATTTTTTTGGGATTTTCTCAATCTAGGATTCTAAAAAATTAGGAATTTTCAGGTATATATAAAAGCTTATAAATTTGATTCATCGTCAAGAATTTCCTTCAAATTGGAAGCTGTTCAGTCAAGGATGCATCGACCCAACTTGTGATTTTTTATTTATTATTATTATTTATGGGAGAAATTAAAGATCATGAAGTGGTATTGTGATACTTTGAAATAAAAGATTAAAGATTATTTATGCCAAGTTGAAAGTCAATTCAAAAATCTTGTTTTTCTAAATTTTATGAATAAAAGAATAATTTGATTTAAGAATGATATTTTGATATTTTGAAATAAAAGTTGAGAGGATATTTTGAATATAAACAATAGTTATTTATATATATGGAGAGAGAGAGTCCTGATCTCTTGTTCTTTGTGGGGCAAGAAAATTAACCCACATTTTTTATATAGACTGTTAGATAACGGTCATTTTTCAAACCCACCTACGCTATTTCTTTTTAATTCAAAACCACTTTCACCCTATTTTTAGTTTCTATATTTAATTTTACCATTATCACCTATTAACAATAAAAGATAATTATCAAAATAAAAATAGAAACATTTGAAAAAATATAATACCAGTATATTTTACTTAAAAAATTGTTTTTATTTATATATTTCTTTGAAAGAAAAACAATACTCGTATTTTTTAATTTTGCAACAACAATATGATATTATAGTCTTTTTCCTAAAAAAAAATTTATTGTTCTTAGTATAAGTAAATTAATATATTTCTCTAGTATAAGTAAATTTACCAACAAATATACTGTAATATTGCATTTTGTAATATGGAATTGATTTGTTGGACTTGAAATTGAATAAAATTTCATTTAAAGTTTGAACAAAAATTCTTTCTATTTCAATTTGAAGTTGGACATTTGGTAAAAATTATTAGATGATGATAATGTACTAACTATGTGGGATTATAGAATCCACTTCAGAAACAACAAGGTAACTCAAAAAAAATGGGTGAAGCACTTGTCATAACTTTATCTATGGAGAGTAATCATACAAGGTGAATATAAAAAATGGAGAGAGAGTTGATAATTACTTTTTATTGTTATGTAAGTAGTAATGGTAAAATTAAATATAGAACCTAAAAATAGAGTGTGAGTGGTTTTGTATTAAAATTAAATATATATATATATATATATATATATATATATATATATATATATATATACTCCTGATTTCTTGCTCCAGGGAGCAAGAAAATTAATCCACACTTTCTATGTAGACCATTAGATATAGAAAGTGATAGGGAGATAAATAGAACGAGACTGAATTAGAAAGGGAGAGATAGATATAGCAATGATGTTATTTGAGGAAAATGTTTGAGAAAGCAAACAAAATAATAAATTGATTCTGTGGGTACTGGACCACTTTTACGGCATGCCTCTTTTCTTATTTATAGAAAAACATAAATTATTTTCCTAAATACAAGCATTCTAAATACATCAAACTCTATCACATAACTAACTACTAAATCCAAATCAAATTCATGGATAGCCTAATTATTAAACTAAAACAAACTAAGTTACTGATAAACTATACTTATCTAACCTTAACCAAAAGATAAAAACCACAAACTGCAATCCTTATCCATTTTTAAATTCAACCCAATCCTTGCACGCTAGTTATGCTCCATATGAACCTACATAACCGTTTCCTTCAAAACCCATTTTACAATCAGCCCATCTACCAAACCAATTCCTTACCAAACAGATATTCGAGTCCCATCTTGCAATCAGCCCATATACCTAAACAAATCCTTATCTTGCAATCGGCCCATATACCTAAACAAATCCTTATCATGCAATCAACAGCAATTTCGGTCTCAACCTAACTCCATTGTTTAGCCCAACAACGCATGCCTCCAGTCCAAATATCAAAATGGGTGTCAACAATGCCCCCCAATTTTGGTAGCCGTTTTAACCCTTCGGCTTACAAAATTCAAACAACACCCATTATGTTAAAACATGAATGTACCATATAATCTCCTAAGAATCATGATTGTTGGGACTTCCAAAAATTGCCGCATGCACTAATCTATCCTTTCAGCCATTAATAATACGGCTGACCCTTTGGTATCCCATTTGTGATTTTCTAGATGTGAAATTTTAAGAGAGCGAAATTTTAACACATGTTTTCAAATTCTATAGCTAATATAATTGTGCGTCTAGGCAGCATGTTTAAGACAACTAACTAATAACCATAAATTTTTATCACCACCAATAAATAATTGTGCGCATGTGCAGTGTGAATAAGACAGCTAACTAATAACAATAAATTTATAAATTAAAGAGTGCGAAATTTTCACGGGCACAAAATAAAAAAATGAAGAGAACAGTTTACTAGAGCACAGAAAACTGCAGCTTCTTTTACGTTCATTGTTTATATAGCTAATAAAATTTGATGATTACAGATGACAAAAATATGTGGAGTTGAGAGTGACTATATATATATATATATATAGGAGACAGAACTTGTGGTACTGAAGAAGTAGTGGGACTTTTAGGTTATATGTGGCATCCACTGTCATATATAGTTGTCTTTCACTCTTTATATTAACTACACTATACTTTGTGTATGTTTTTTTTGGGAGCCAATTACCCGCAGTGATTGATTGATCATTGCTACAGAAGACATGTGCAAATTGATAGAAAAAACCATTAACTTTTGTTTGGTTAAAGCCTGCTCTTGATTTCCATGTGTTTGTACATTCTGATGGCAAGTGCTTTGACAGTATTAATAACCCTGAGCCAACTTCAAATAACATCAATAATGGTGGTATGCATCTTCATATAAAAATAAAATAAAAATAAAAAAACCCTTAATTTGGCACTTTTAAGTATGAGCATAATTTAGAGATCGAAAAAGTTAATTATTACCTCAACCCACTAGTAGAAGGGATCCTTAATTTTCGTGGGATTGAATGTGAAAATGCAAAAAAAAATATGGGGAAAAAGGGTATGGTTGCTGCTGTTGTGAGATTGGAGTGGACTTAGGGAGTGGAAAAAGAAAAAAAAAGGACCTGCCATAGATAATGGACTCGATCGCCATGAAAGACACATGTAGAAAGGCACACATTTATTAAAATACTAAGAGAACCATAATATATTCATTCAGCTTTTGATAGCCATCACACACAGTGACACACACACAAAAAAAAAAACTAGTTTGGAAGCTACTTTTCACTATTGGAACAAAGGTAAAGGCCCGAATCAAACGAACCAAAGTTGGAACAAATCAAATGATGAGATGAACGAAAGAAATAAACATATATAAAAGATCGATTCATGCAAAAGGAGAGAGGAGAGAGAGAGAGAGAGAGAGAGAGAGAGAGAGAGAGAGTATGAACATACCTTCTCACCTGAGGCGATAGCGGAGGCTGCGCCCTGTGGAGTGTCGAAGCAGATTGTGTTGTCTGAAACTTGCCCTAACTTATTTTTATATTTTTTTTCCATCCCCTATGGGCCTCAAAATTTGAGGCCCTCTAAAATCCGAGGCCCAAGGCGACCAAGGCGGCCAGAGACGGCCCTGTCTATAACTAACAAAAAGACACTATTGAGCTTGCGAATTTTTAGTAGTTTAGACTTAAAAACCTTTTTCATTTTCAACATTGTTTGCAATGGGGAATATAGAGCAATTAGTCTCCTCAATTGGGAAATTTGTCTTGTGTTTTTTTTTTTCCTGGTCATTTTCAACATTGTTTGTCATCACAACTTCTAGTTAGATCTTTTGGATTTTGCCTTTTTCTTTAGTAATAATGTTTGCATAATGGTACAATATCGGTAAATTTCATTAAGATAAGTCAAATCCTAGTCGATATTGAACACGTATAGGATTGCAAATGAACCGAGTAATGGTGTGCCCGAGCTCGGCTCGATCAGGTGATAGAATGTTCAAGCTCGGCTCGAGCTCGAGCCAAGTCGAGAAAATTTGGTTCAAGCTCGGCTCGGCTATGTTTGACTGTTTAATTTTCTTTTTTTTTTTATTTTTGGTGGTACTTCACATCCAACAAATCTTTAACAAATGATAAAAATTAAAATTAAAATAAAAATTTTGAGAGAGAAATAGATTTGCAGTAATAAAAAGAGAGAAGTTTGAAAAAAAGAGAAAGAAAGTGATAAATTTGATCGAAAATTAAACTTACTAGAGTTGATTTTGATGGAAGAAGTTGAGAGATGCACAGATCAATAGTAAACTCCAAAATCTATACTAAAAATCAGTTTGGATAAAAGACGATTAATACATAAGTATGTTGATGAGATGATAAAATATAAGAAAAGAAAGAGAGAGAAGTAAGATTCCATGACAGAAAGCATATTGCTAAAAACGGGAAGATGATTAGGGTTAGATATAAGACATGGGCTTGGGTTTGATTTTACAAATGGGCTTGGTTTTTATTTTAAAATGAATAAATGATAAAATTGGGTCTAAAACAAAAAGGACTAAAAAATTTAATGGGCTGCGGACTATGCCTTCATAACATAAAATTATATATTATATATATTTTATATATATATATATATATATATATATATATATATTAATCGAGTATGTTCACGAATACCTTATCGAGCTCAATTCGTAAAAGGTTCAAAACAAATGAGTCGAGCCTACTGATATTTGGACTCGGCTCGTTTATGAATTGAGTCTCATAATTCGGCTCGAGCTCGGTTTAATTATAAATGAACTGAGTTCAAGTCGAGTAATTCACGAGCCGAGCCCGAGCAGTTCGCGAACAACTCGGGTCGTTTGCAGCCCTAAACACGTATGTGCTCCTTTAACGATTAATTTCTACCTTCTCACATGCACCATTGATTTTTTTAGGATTGGTGAGAATTGAAGATTTTGTTCATGAATTGTAATTTTGATTTGATTGTAAAACATATAGAGGCACTTTAAAGCCACCCTGGGCCGAGCGCCCAAGCTCAATGCTGCATTCTTGAAAATTCAAATGCCATTTTTGCAATAAGAACCCAAGCAAAATGTAATGCAACAATTGATGGCAAATGCAATGCCTCTAGTTTTGCTCATGTAATGTTTGTAATGAAAAAAAATCGGGCATTATTTAGTAGTCTAGTTAACAGAGTACTCAGCTCTCCAAAGAAAATGAATTTAACTTTATAATAGGTTCTCCCACCTTTTCTCATTGTCTTTTAGAAAATTGGTTGTTCCAGTCGACCTTTTTTGACTTGGTTTTTCACTGGGTGTGCAAGGGGACTTCTTCATGGTCACTTTGTGCGTGTTTTAAGGTTTTTATAAGGTTGGTTTGGCAATTATAGTAGAGCCATTTTACCTCTCTTTCAAACGGGTCCTTCAAAACCAAACATGATTTTTCTGCATTGGAACTATTTCATTTTATACCAATTTTCTCAAACGTTCACGAAATTTTGCATTGAAATTTCTATGTTCTGAAATGTCTCACTCGCTACATGATATTTACGTTTATGAATGACCATTTTACTCCCAATGTGGTGTTTGGGTTTGAGTAAAAGCCGAGCTTGAAAATGGTGATAAAGATTTTCATAGTTCATGACTCGCATCCTACGAATTTGGATCATGACAAAGATTTTCATAGTTTGTTAGCTGATGATGGGCCTGAAAATTCTCCATTTTCAACATTGGGCCTGGCCATGCACAATATAATGCAAGGATTGTTCACCACTTTGAGAAAATTAGTTATTTCAACATGTGTGTGTGTTTTGTTGCCTTTGAGAAAATTGGCTATTTCAAAGTTACAGGAACAATCTATCTTTTTCTATTCTCATATTTTCTTTTCATTAAATTTTCAACACAACCAAACAAGATACATCTTCAATTACTTGTATCTTTTCATTGATAATACAGTTATTGCACAATGTTGGTCCATTTCATAGGCTTACCAAATATTGGTCCCCAAAACCTAACCTACATAGGGTGCTTTTAGATTACTAGAGGACATGAAAAGGGAAGGTGTGACCAGAGTAACTCCCAAGGGATAAAATAGAATGAGGCCAAACATTATGAAGATGGGCAGCATTTGAGGGGATTGGGACAAACAAACATATGAGAGATGCAGCCAGAGTGAGATTTATTTTTAGAGAGAGAAAGTGAGAGAGAGAGAGGAGAGAGAAACAAGGGCAGGGAGTTGAGGGGTGTCAAATCTTTGTTACTGTGAATGCTTGGGTTTTTTTTGGCTCTTGTTTGGCTCAGACATCCCATCAACAGTATTCCACTTCTTGGTCCTCACACCGTATCATCATCTTCCATCAATGCCTCCCACCCCCCATTCAATGCCAAACAAGTTTTAATAACCTTCTCTCACTCAATGTATTGTCAATCTTAAATTTATTGACATGAATAAAGGAAAATAATAGTAATAATTAATAAATACAGTATTAATTAGATGATACCATCATGTTAAATTTACATCAACTTATTTGCTTTTTTATTTTTAATGGTATTAATTAGTTGGTTTAGTCTTTCCATTTGAATCACATTATTTCCTTTAAAATTACTGTACAGGGCAAGACTTGCCTATTCCCACTGACTTATGTGGCCCAATAAATTAAGTCACCCTATTTGATTTTTTTTGTTATTTATAATTTTCTTGATTTCGTAATTACTGATTATTTGTATATTGGTAATTGAACCACATCAACGGTTATTAGGAATGACCTACTTGAATAGACAAGTCTTGTACTTGCATTAGGATTCAACTTTTTGTGAAAATGCGCCGTTAATATATTTTTTTAGAAGTTTATATCATTAATTTTTGAGATTTACAATAGGGTTCTAATATAAATTTTTTTCTTCTATATTTTTTTTTACCTACATTAATTTTTTAAGTTATTGACATTGAATATTTGTTAGTTCAACCATTTTTTTTTTTTTTTCTATATATAAAATTTTCAAGTTCACCAAAAAGGTGGTGTAATCTAATGATACTTCCACTTCCAAAGGAGAAGGTCAAGAGTTTCAAGTATTCATTATGAGTGTGTGAGTGTAAAATGCATTTAATACATTTTTTTCTTTAAAATTTTATATTAATAGTTTGTGAGAATTCAAAATTAAAAAATGTTGTATTTGGAAACACGGAATTGACATGTTGGAATTGAAATTGGCAAAAAAAAATCTACCTTAAATTTGGACTAAAATTTTTTAAATTCTAAATTCATTATTCAAAGCGCTGATTTGATATTGGTACTACTCAACGAAGCATGTTTCAAATTTTCTATGCCACCTCAAAACGGAAAGAGGGTCAATATTGGTATAACTCCCAGGCCAACAGATTTGAAAATTTCAAACGTAAATTCTCTTTCTTCTATTTTTGTTTTCCCATTACATCTCTTCTATTGTAGTATTTATTTTTTTAGTTCCTTATTTATTTATTTAGTATTATTATAATGTTATATCAGTTTTTAACTCTCTTTATCACTTATCTATGTCCATCCTAAATTTTTTATTTTTAAACACGTACCTTAAGTGACACGAGCAAATCATTTTATATATTTATCTAATAAAATAGAAAAAAAAAAAAATTAAAAGACATTATTATTTAGATGCTTCGATATCTATATTCGCTGGTCCATATATCTAAATTAACATTTTGCAATTAGTTGTAACAATGCCACCAAAATTTGATATTTTTTTTATTGTCAATTAGTTGATATTTTTTTTAATAAAATTAGTTGATATTTTTTTTATTGTCAATTAGTTGATATTTTTTTTAATACTTAATAAAATTTGATATATATTTTTTTATTGTCAATTAGGTGACCAAATTGTCAATTAGTTGTAATAATTAACTCTCTTTTTTATTGCTAAATTGTATAGAATTACTTTCTTTTAGTATTTTCTTTTCTTTCTTCCAATCAAGAATTGTAAGTGTTGCAAGTTTTCAAAGATAATTAAAATTTAAATATATATTTTTAATATTTTTTAAAATTTTTAGCTTTCAGCCGTAATAAGTGATATCAATGTCACTTAAAATTTTACCTTATTTTATCGAACACTTAATTAAATAAGTATCTAAAAAAGAGGTTTTGTTATTTTTAAAAATTAACAAGAATTAAGTCACAACACTTTCACTACCATTCCCATTTTGTGACTTGTATTTTGTCGATTATGCATTTTTGATTTTAAATTTACTCCCATTCTATATGACTTAAGAAAAATAGTTCTTGTTATAGGGTATTTATTTATTAAAGTAACTACAAAAATATTGGTTTATTAAGTATTTTATTTTATATTTATTTTTAACTTGTCACCTTGAAGAAACATTGAAAGTAACCATAATGAGTACGGTCAAGAAACAGTTGATTACAGTTACCTCTAAGATAGGTCCTATCCATCCTATTCCTAGGTGTGTTAACAAACAACCCACCCAATTACAGATTTACACTTTCACCCAACCCACCATCATCGCAACGGCTTTCCGGTTCCACACCGTTATCAATTCCTAACCTAGCATTGACCACACACAATCGCGGTCTGCACGTACACACAGTCACACACACATATCCTCACACACATATCCTCACACACAAATGTGGACCCCACTTTTCACTAAAGTTTTAATCAACCCAATAGACCCGTCACACAACACAAATTATATACAATTAAGCCAATTCCTCAACAGACAAATTAGTGCCCTCCCAATCTTTTGCCGACGATTGGTTGCCTCCTCGTGACCCCACACGCTTAACGGCAATCGCGCTCTAAAGCAACACCGTTCATCACGCTCTTACCTTACCCTCCCCACGCCATTCTATCCGTTGGATTCTTAAACAACTCTTACGTATTTATTTTATTATTTTTTATTGAGCATTCCAGTCTTTTAAAACAATTCATAATTTCAATACATTTAAGTTATATTTGTTTGAACAGAAAATATATTTTTTTATTTTATTTTTTTTTGATATTTTGTTATTGTAAAATATTTTTAAGAAAAAAAAAATTAAAAAATTAATAAAAATAACTTATTTATCAATTTTTTAACAAATTATTAAATATGTCTCACCAATAGACTCTGTCTCAAAACCTTTTCCAAACTAATATATATATATATATATGTATATGTATATGTATATATATTTTACCCTAAAACAAATATTTTGAAAAATAGATGTTTTCCGGTCAAGTTTATCTCACGTGGACAAAAAAAAAAAAAAATCTCTGAACCAATTCCGGGAGAGTACGAACTAGTATTTCATAATTCAGGCGCATTCAGTCAGACTCATCGCATACACCTAACAAATACCGAAAATGTTAGACTAAGTTGAACTGACGCAGCACAACCGTCGGTGCGCCATTGGGTAACGATAACAGCTTATTAACCACGATTAGGAAGCGGAACCGTGGTTAAAATAGGCCACGACAGATTACGTAGATTAGGAGAGAGAAAGGTCTAATTTTCTTTATTTTTTATTGTTTTCGTAGAGGTGTTTGTTTTTAAAGCTAACAGACATGCTCTGCGACTGCTATGTTCTTGCCTCCTCTCGTCTTTTACCTTCTTTTGGTGTTGAGAAAGTCAGAGATACAGAGTGAGAGAGAGAGAGAAGTGGTGGATTTGCGAAGAGTTTGTATGGTTTTAGAGAGAGAGAGGGGGGGGGTAATGATTGCTTTTGCAGTTCAACTGAAGTTCACAGACGAGAATCATCGCAGAGAAAATTTGTTTGGTTTTGAGCTGAAGTAGAAATATTATTCGAAGCGTTTATGAATTGGTTGAAGATTGCAGAGATTTGTTGATTTTGCTGAAATTTCATTGGCGGGAGATTCGAGGTACAGTTTAATTTCTATGCCAAATTGAGTAGTATACGAATGATAGGTTGAGATATGTTTCGGTAGAGAATCTCAGAAAAGTAACAAATTCAAAAGAGATTACAAACAAAAACCATAAAGCAATTCAACAAAGCTGTATTTGTTTAGATTATATCAATGCAAAAGAGTTAGCTGATTAATAGATGCTTTGAAGAGTCCGGTGAAAATTTTGTTGTAATCGTCGAGAAATGGCTTGTAATCCGTCGGAAATGCAAGAGCCGAGCATCGACACAGATAAGCTCAGCTACGAGATATTCTCGATTCTCGAGAGCAAATTCCTGTTTGGCTACGATGATCAGAAGCTGTGGATCCCCAAACAGATTTCTCCGGCGATGGAAGCGAAGTCGGAAGTCTCGACTCCACCGACGGTGGAGAACGGAGTTCAGGCAATCAAGAATCAGAGAGGCAAAATCTGCATACTCAGCATCGACGGTGGTGGAATGCGAAGCATCCTATCAGGAAAAGCCCTAGCCTACCTGGAACACGCTCTCAAAACGAAATCCGGCAATTCTGACGCCAGAATCGCCGATTACTTCGACGTCGCCGCCGGTTCCGGCGTCGGAGGCATCTTCACGTCGATGCTGTTCGCCACCAAAGACCACAACCGTCCGATTCTCCACGCGGAGGACACCTGGAAGTTCCTCGCCGAGCAAGGGAAGCGATTCTACCGTGCTTCCTCCGGTTCAGGCTCTTCCGGTGGCAGCTTTTTCCGGCGGATTTTCCGAGGCTCCGGCAGCTCCAAGGCCTCGGCGACGACGACCGGTTTAGAGAAAGTCATGAAAGAAGCCTTTTCAGAGAACGGTCGAAGCTTGACGTTGAAAGACACATTGAAGCCGGTTTTGATACCGTGCTACGACCTCTCCAGTTCGGCGCCGTTTCTATTCTCCCGAGCCGACGCGTTGGAGACCGATAGCTTCGACTTCCGGCTCTGGGAGGTTTGCCGCGCGACGTCAGCCGAGCCGGCGTTGTTCGAGCCGGTCTGCATGAAGTCGCTCGACGGTCAGACCCGGTGCGTGGCGGTTGACGGCGGACTCGCCATGAGCAACCCCACGGCGGCGGCGATCACGCACGTGCTCCACAACAAGCAAGAATTCCCGTTCGTGCGTGGCGTGGAGGACATTTTGGTCCTTTCACTTGGAACCGGTCAGCTCCTTGAAGGAAGCTACGACTACGACCAGGTCAAAGGATGGAAGGCCAAGGACTGGGCTCGACCCATGGCTCGCATCTCCGGCGATGGTTCCGCTGATTTGGTGGACCACGCTGTCGCCATGGCCTTTGGTCAGAGTCGTAGCAGTAACTACGTCCGTATCCAGGTACGCCATTTCTCTAACTTGCGCCGTATGCGTTACGTAACTGTAGTAGTCCTGTCTATAGATATATGTGGATATATATAGATATATGTATAGACGTATATGTACAATGACTTTTATTGCATTCGAACGATTCGGTTACGTTTTAGCTACTTTGAGTACAAGAGACAGAGTTTGCCAGGCTGGGTGGGTGAGGGGATTCGGATGTTGTCTTTGCATGGGGGGTATGGGGATTGGGATATGGGGGATGTTTTGTGTAATTTGCTAACGTGCGCCAGTGTTTTTGGGCTCATGCAATTAAGTATGGTGTTTTGTAGGTTTCGATGGCCTCGTTTATCGGGGCCATTGGTTTTGTGGACAGGCACAGATGCCTAAAAACCCACTCTGTTTCATTGCCATCCAATGGATTTTGTTTGGGTTCTGACAAGTACTCTTTCACAGTCTCACTCAATTGTCCATGTGTGATCAGATTTTCACTTTGTTTTGCTCTTTCATGTCCTCTTTTGAATGATTTCATTGCCTGTTACAGTAGAAATTAATTTTAGAATCAACTATATGGAGAAGCTTTATTGTGGAATTTAATTCACTCACTCAGTTTGTCAAAGAATATGAATGAGACTCACATTTTATTTTATGGATGAAGTACAATTGTTGGGTCAGTCGGTAAGATATTACAACTGTCAACTGGAGCTTTTTTGTTTGTTTACATGATTTAAAAAGAATTTAGAAGTTTTCACTTGGGCATTGTCTGGAATATCACTGAAGCAACTATATCAAGTTATCAACTACCTTACTAATTACTTGGCCAAATTTCATTGTTTTGTTTTGTTTATTTTGTTGTTTATAGAATTTAAAAAGTATTTTATTTAAACTAAATTTTCTCTAATTTTAAATTGAAGGCGCAAACATTAGAAGTTTTCACTTGGGCATTGTTTGAAATATCATTGAACAAACTTTATCAACTACTTTGCCAAATTTGTGGAATTTAAAAGAGAAAAGATCATTATTACAGTTAGTATTTTATCTTTTGTGTCAATTTTATCCGGTTGATTTGAAAGAGAATATACAAACTATAATGTGGGGGTAGACTGGCTGGTTATGTATGACACGCTAGATGTGAAAAGGTGGGTGGGATAACTAGGGTTTAATATACTAAAAATGAGTAAATTTGATAGTGTAAAAATATCAAAATCTGATTTTGGGTGTCTGCATATTTTCACCAGTAAGGAAAAGCATGGTTTCCATTATTAGCTTTGTGTCATCATCATGAGCGCAGTTTATGGTACAAAATATGCGCTGGCAATGGACCAGAATGTACCCTATGTTTTGGCACCTGAACTTTCTATGCATATTGGGGTTTCCTACCAATTTCACCACCGTGGTCCTTGCTTTTTGTTTTTTTATTCAACTCGATAAAAGAGTATCCATCTCTACACAATTCAGAGTAAGTATTCCCATACTAAATTATCATCATCTCATCGCTCCTTTGTCGCTAGCATTTCTAGTTCTGTTGAACCTAACACATTTGCCGAGTCCTCTAGTTCGCATTCCCTGATTAAAAAAAAGGATCGGGATTTAGGGTATTTGTGGTCCTTCCTGTTGTTGCATGCACTCTTTCTCATAGGGTATATAGAAGCAGCAAAAGGGACCCCCCAAAGATGTACTATACTGTCATTGCTGACTGTCAGCTGCACCCAGTTCAATTTCTTTACGTGGGTTCAATCCCACATCATAAATTGCACCCCACCCCCACACTACTTGAACTCATGTAATATAATTACGAAAGCTTCATGCCTACCTATTTTTGGTCCCATTTGAATTTGATGCAATTGTGAAAGCTTTGCGCCTTAGTTTGTTTTCTTTTCATTTTTGTCCTGTTTTGAATTCTGATGCTTCTTAGCATATATGTTTATTGAAATCTGCTATAAATTGCCTTTAGTAGGTCAAGATCAATACAGACCCCTAAACTTATTAAGTATTATAAAACTAAAAGAGTACGGACATGGAGAATCCTCACTATTATAGAAAGGAAGAAAAAATATGATAAATAAGTCCTACCTGAAATTAGTGCTTTAGGAGGAAAAATCCTCCCAAGTAATTAATAGAAAAATACTGTCATTTTTAGATGGCATGAAATTTGGACTATTCTTGTGGGATTAAATTATATATAATTGTGCGTGAAACGGCTGGTGTTTCTCTTGTAAGATCCATTTTGTTTCTATTTAGTTTTTGACGGTACATTGTCCATTTAGTCTTTATTGCTTAGGGGTTTTTGATTGATGAGTTTTATGGTAAATTGACTTTGTTTTGGCCTTTTACAGTAGCATAGCGCATTAATATATAAAAAAGAAAATTTGAGTTGGAGTAATTAATTAGATGAGTAATTTACCCTTGGCGCATTCTCTCTCTATTTTGGCATGACAGGCAAATGGATCTAGCTTGGGTCGTTGCGGTGCAAATGTAGATTCTGACCCTAGTGCCAACAATGTAAAGATGCTCATAGGAATATCCGAGGAAATGCTGAAACAGAAGAATGTTGAATCCGTGTTATTTGGGGGTAAAAGGATAGCTGAACAAAGCAATTTCGAGAAACTCGACTGGTTTGCCGGAGAGCTCGTGTTGGAGCATCAGAGGAGGAGTTGTAGAATAGCTCCCACTGTTGCATTCAAGCAAGCTACCCCAAAATCCTCCTAGACAATCTAAACAAAATTTAAAAAAAGGTAAGCTTTTCTTCTCATCTTATTCAATAATTCCATTAGTTTTATATTCTCATGCTGCATTATCTTTGTCCGTAATTTGTCTTAGCATACTAATTCAACCATGGCCCATAACCATTATTTTCTTTTAAATTGAAACAAACAATAATGAAACCAACTTTATTGTTTTTTTTTTTTTTTTTCCCTTCTTAAAAATCACTTCAGAGAAGTCTTTAAGACATACAGATTTTGTGAATCTTAATCACGGGAAGGTGTTGGTACTTGTTATTGTCTGTTTCTGTGTACTCGTGGGCTTGACTTGTCATTTTCTCCCTGTTTTATAGATCAAACATATAACAACCGGTTGTTGTCGTAATAGTTTAACAGAAACTTGAGAGATGAAACCCCTATGATGTGGGCAAAGAAGTTCCTCTTGTTGTCGGTCTACCGACACTGATTCTTGAAAAAGTTTGGGTCAATTTAGTCATTTAATCCCCAAACCCCCAAAAAGGTTTGAGGGGTCTTATGGTCATTTTGGAGCAAACAATATCATTGTGGTGCCATAGTGTTATGTCCGTAGTCCGGAAAGAAAAGTGCCTATGTTTGTTTGAGACTATGGACAAAGTTCACTCCTTGGCTCTTGCAGCTTAGCTTTCTAAGCTTCTTAACTTTATACTTTTTGGAGTGAGAGAGTTACACCTTATGAAGGGTATTTAGGTGATTTCATACATTTGTGGAGTTCCTACTCAAGTCAGACATCTGGGGAGTTCCTAGTTAAGTCATACAATTCTTTTTCTCACTATCGCTTTCGAATTTGGTCTCTCTCACCCCTAGTTAAGTCATACAATTCTTTTTCTCACTATCGCTTTCGAATTTGGTCTCTCTCACATTTGTGTGACTTAGGTTCGAATACATTATTCACAAGGGATATGACAAGAACACCACTTCCTAATAAACTAAATCTTATATAATTGAATAAAATATTTACTCTTTTGAAGTTAATGGACGAAACTTGGCTATGAAATACTAGTAAGAAAATATGACAATCACATGTTTGTACAGTATGCTAGAAATGGTTTTGTATCTAGCGGCCTTCACTGTTCTTTTTAGCTTCCCTTTGTTTTGATGTTTATTCTGCCTAAATTATTAAAGTTAAATCATTGAAGTACCCGTTCAGGTGGGCAGTTGACTAAACATTTCATGACTATTCGACAGTAGATTTTAGGGTTTTCTCATAAATCGGTGGGTGGTGGGTGCTCCTCTGCAATCTCTGGGCCCATTGACCCCTAATCATGATATCATGATTGAAAATCTGCATTTTGTGGGAGTCTTAATCCAATAAAGTAATAAATAAAAAGTACTACCAATTTCCTTGGAGGATTTTTACCAAGTCTTTTTTTTACTTTTTAAAAAAAGAAAAAGAAAAAGAAAAAGATTACAATAAATGCAGCGTAAACTTAGTATTACAGACTGGGGGATAGTGATTAGTGGAAGAAATTTACCAGAGAGGAAACCAATGTGTAAACACTACAGTTAGATAGGGAAATTAAAAACCTACTTATGTGGCCCTGTGGGGACTTAAAACTATATACAAACAAGGAGACTGGGTCAAAAGAAAACTGGTTTTGTTGTTAAAAAGAAGAGAAAGTTAAAAAAATGTTACAAAGTTCAAAAAAATTTACACTGTTGGTTGAAGTAAATTTTATTAGTTTTAAGTGTGGGCTCACACCTGCAAGGGACGTGGAGCCCTTGAAATTATTGAAAGTTCTTGATTAAAGTAGCAGCAGCATTGGGCTTCGTGATTTTGCTCATTGTGCTTGTTGTTGGTTTTCTTGGTTAGTGGTCTCCTACTCTGATATTGACATGGGTTGGTCCTTCATTTTATTTTTTATTTTTATTTATTTTTTGCTCTATTTATTTCATTAATAATTGACAATTCACTTGTATTATTCCAGAAATTACTTTTCCCACAAAAAAAGAGAGCCATTGATTAAGATTGTTCTTCTTTTCCTTTTATGTTTTGCAATTCACTTGTATTAATCCTTTGTTGATGTCATTCTAGTAGTAATATTAATATATTTTTGACAAAATTGCAGGAAAAGAAAATTGATTATGTTCAAAAAAAAAAAAAAAAAAGGATGGAGCAGCTTTTACTTTTTAAAGAGGAGTAGGTCAGGGAATTGAGTGAAAAGGACACTCAACTGTAAAAACAAGTGTGGATGATCTTAAGTGGGATTCTTTGCCTGCCAGAGGACAAGCATTGTGGTGGCCTACTTTTTATACCACACCAAATGACCAAAAATGAAAAAGTATTGAGTGTGATCTTTGTTTCGAGGTCAAAGCATATGAATCACATTTGAATCCTAGGGGTGGGAAAATTTGTTTTCTTATTTCTTCCCTTACCCATACTTTTATTTTTGTCCCCTTCATTTTCTTTTCCAAAAAATTTTCTCTCATTTTCTTGTCTTCAAGAAATCTGTGTTCGAGTGGGGGTGGCTGCCTTGTGAAGAAGCCCTAGAAACATAGCACAAGATCTTTGCTTGATATTTTGTAATTTTCATTTCTTATATTTCCTTCAATATGGTTTATAGCGGTGGGGTAGAGATTTGAGTGGTGGGTTATCTTTTCCAAGCAACCAGCCATATGTCCTGAAAATGGGATTGATAGGGGCCAAAATGGGGACTTGGGGTTGGACCCTTTGATATAAGAGAAAAGGATTTTTTTTTTATTTTGTTTCTTGAAATTTTATTATAATATAGGATGGGGGTCCTTTGTTTGCATTTTACTTTCGAAGTGTTCATGTTCCTATGATTGTTTGGTTGGCATGAAAATCTAAATCCTTTTCTTTTTTTGTATCAACTTTTGTATGTGATGGGTGACTGTTGTATTTGTTGAGTTAGCCTTCTTGTGCTTTTGAATTTTCTTTTCTTTTCTTTACTTTGTGGGGAGAACTAGTGGGGCAGTGGATGGATTTGGATCATTGGTAGGTAGGTTTGAAGTTTCTCCATGGATTTTGTGCTAGCCTTGTCACTTGTCCATGCCCCTTCATGTAGTAGGATCCATTAGGTTGCATAAAAGCAGGATTGCCACAACAAAATGGAAATAATGATAATATAATAAGATAATTGGAAAAAAAAAAAAAAAAACAATCTTTACCTCCTTACCTGTAAGGAGGAACTTCCTCCTTGTAGTTAAAGTGTAATATTATTAGACTACCGGTCCTTTCATAATATTAAAATATATATATATATATATATATTTCAAAGCTAGTAAAATTGATACCAAATTTATTAATATATTTCAGTCTGTCATATCATCTCACGTCGACGACTCGAGTTTAGGGGTGGAATCCTCTTTCGTCGAAATAATTAGGGGGAGGTGTGTGAGTAAATAGGGCAGAAAAAAAAAAAATGTAAAGGATGGGGATTTCAAGTTTTATTTTTATATTTAAATTGAACATACTCTGAGATAAAAATTATTGTAATTATGCTTGGCTTAACGTGACTAGTGCGGCCTCAAATCAATTGATAAGATTTAAAAAAGTCAATGTTGGCAGCTAATTGAAATGATGGCAAATGAAAGCATGCTTGGTGGCCAAATAGACCCTTTTTAAGTTGCATAATTAAAGTACGATTTTTTATAGCCAAATTTTCTTTGTGGGGGAGTGGGACTTGAAAAAAATGCCAATACACTCTAAAATGCTTTAATTGCTAAGATTCGCATAAAATTAGTCATAATTAGAACTAATAAAATTAATAAGACAAAAGTTGGTAGTTATTTAAATCAAGAATAAACAAAGAACTCCTCCCACAAATTTTTTTCCATGTTCACAAGTATTTAAATAATTAAAAAAATAAATAAATAAAATTAACTCACTAACAATTTGAAATCTCTAACACAAAATTTCTAAACACAACTTCTTTGTTAAAAATAAAAAATTGTAGAAACTTTACATACTTGGTTTGTAAATCTAAGAACAGTTTTCTGTTTTGGTTCAGTTTTTTTGAAAATTCAATTATAAAAAAACTTGTTTTCAGATAATTATCTTTTATTTTTTTCTGAAAATTATTTTTTATTATCTGAATTCTTAAGAATTGTTTTCAAAGTTATAAATTAAGCAAATCTTATTTTTAACTTAAGTAGAGTTGTTTCCTTTGAGCATACTACCTTAGATCTTAAATATAATTTTCACACTTTTTTCTTCCAACAAGGTGCAAAGTTTTGATAGATTGACGCCGAGGATAGTATTAATATATGAGCAATGATCATCTCGATATAAAGAAAGAAACAATTAAAAAGTTAACTCAGTGCTACGAGATCGAACGGTATGTCATGTCCATAATGTCTTTCATTTCATCAAAGGGACTTTTCAATGTCTATGTCCCAAAACATTATTTTTGAGTTTAATGTTTGGGAAGTGGTGAAATAGATAAACATGTATTGCAGTACCACTTAAGATACTAATAGGGTTAGAATTGGAATTGAGTAAGGAATCTTTTGAAGTCCATAAACTCATATAAAATTGAATCACACCTTCAACAAAGTTAAAGTGATTAAACATTTGAGACACATCAAGCTAATAAACTCCCTATATTATTACTTAAAAGCCACTAGGTAAAGCGCTATGCATTTTCCCAATTAGGGTAAGACCTAGGGAGGGCCTAAATTATTGGTCCTCTTTTACCCTTAGGGTAATCAAACTTTAAAATCTATGTGTTAGATCCTTGATTCCTTTCTGTCCATATCACCAAAAATCCATCTTACTTTGATCATATTCCTTTGAAAGTATAGTCAATTGGACGGTCAGGATGACTCTGATCATCTCCATCTTTGATCCCAACAAGTTGATATCTTTCATACTTTAATTTTATAGCACCTAGGGCTAGGGTATGGTAGGGATACTTTTACCTAATAGTGTGATAAAGACTAACCCTAGAGCCAAAACCACATAACAACGAATCATAGACTATAGGTCTACAAAGAGAAATCATAAATAAAGATAAGAACGGAAGACCATTAGTGCAAATACCATTTTCTTAATATCACCAAATGTGATCGATATGTGTGTAGCTTTCGGTGGTTCAATGGCAAACATTTCAAATTGCTTTTATCTTTTGTGGTATTATTCAACGTGCCATTTAGTTGGTCACCAATACGTTGCCTCTTTTCTCTATATGAAATGAAAATGAGTTGAAATTGGTGCTCGCATTTTAACGAATAGAATTTTTAGAAACGAATCGTAAACTCAAATATTCTGGATTCGATGGTCAAAAAGTTTGCAAACGATTTGAAAGATCGTGACTAATAATGAGTTAATTTTCAATCGCCAAGAAAAAATAAAATTTAGTTGGTCACCAATATCTTGCCTCTTTTCTCTGTATGAAATAAAAATGAGTTGAAATTGGTGCTCGTGTTTCAACGAATAGGGTTTTAGAAATGAACCGTAAACTCAAATGTCCTGGATTCGATGGTCAAAAAGTTTACAAACGATTTGAAAGATCATAACTAATAATGAGTTGATTTTCAACGGCCAAGAAAAAATAAAATTTAGTTGAGCTCTCTCTCTCTCTCTGCTATTAGTTGAACTCTCTCATGTCATATTATATATATATTCATATGTATAATATACATAATTTGGTACGGAGGTGATGACTTAACAATGGAATCTACTTTAAGCTTTGTCTTCTTTACAAATGTGTTATCCATTCAAACACTAAGAAAAGTATTAGTCTCTCATCGGCCATTCACACACATTGTCCTTATTTGTATGGATTAGGATACGTTTGGTCAGTGGAGTGGAAGAATTTAAAACACGAGTACTTTTCATACCCAACTCGTGTTTTGTGATAATAATCATGATTATGACTCGTGCACTTATATTTTATTGGATTGGTGGTAGTTAATCAACGGACAAAAGCATTGCAATTTGAAAAGAAAGAAAGGATGGAGATGATTGAAAAGAACAAGGGAAAGGAAAGGAAAGGAATGGAAGGGAATCTATTTAATAAAGAAAAGAAAATATGGTTCCTATAGATAATTAAATTGTGGCCCAATTTTGATTTTTTAGATAATTAAATTGTGGCCCAATTTTTTTTTTTAGATAATTAAATTGTGGTATGGTTAATAAGATCCTAAATGAGAAAATGACAATGCAACATCTAATAAAAATAAAAATAAATAAATAAATGATAATACACAACATGAGAATCATGTGGCCGTTTTTAATTACGTGCCGTGCTTGTTGTATTTTGCTTGCAATTAGAAAATTATTGTAACATATTAAGATTTTATATGATTTGCTAATTTAGAGATATTTCCGTGTCAATGACAATGAAATCAACGGGGAAATTTTCTTTCACTCTTGAGAGAGACAATTCTTGATTAATAATAATTCATTTCGATATGATAGGATGACACTTTGGAATATTATGTTTCTCCAACTAAATTATTGGAGAGAAAAAATATTATATATATACACGTAAATAGCAATTGTTGTTATGTCATGTCTAGTTAATTTATTTGTAATTTTTTAACTAAAAAGATACAAATTGGTTGCCTAAACTAAAAATTTATTATAAAATATAATCTAGAAATTTCTTGCCACATTGAAAACAGAATAAAAAAAACTTTTAAATAGCTCGGAATGCAAATCAACCTATCATCTATACAAAACGTTACAAAAAAAAAAAAAAAAAACCCTCCCAATCATCGGATCACATTTTTCGACGTCTGTTGATTCACGCGCCAGTGTATTTTCAAGTAATGCCCAAATTACCTTTTTAAATGACAATTATACCTTGACAAAAGTTCAAAAAACTCTCTTGATCCATCAATAAAATGAAAAATAACTTTCTGAACTATCTCAGATTGCAAATCAAACCCTAAATTATACAATTTATTTTTGTTATTATTTTAAATTATTACTGCTACCACCACAACCACTATTATTATTCTTATTCTTATTCTTATTATTGTTATCATTATTATTATTTTTATTTTTTGATAATTTATGAGCTTGCATGTTTATATTTATATAGATTCCAACTAATCAAGCAATTTATTTTTGTTATTATTTTGAATTTTTATTATTATTACTACTAACACAACTAGTACTATTATTATTATTATTATTATTATTATTAGATATTATTATTCTTATTTTTATTATTATTATTGTAATTTTTTTCTCCTTGCATAACTTACAAAAAAGTGAGGAGTGCAGCCAAGCGTATACCAATGTTCATCACGATGTTCTAAATGAGTGTGTGTCGGTTCTTGATGATCTTTGATGGGGGCTTTGGAATGGAGTTTATTTATTTATTTAATTTTTCAACTGGTTCACTGATAGGTTTGGACTTAACTCTATCATAGTAAAAAGATGTGAGAGAAATAATTTGATATAATGAATAAAATTATAATTTTAAAAGAAATATTAATATTGTTAATATGATTAATATTCATCAGAATAAGATTAATAATTAATTAATATTTATATTATAATTGATTTTTCCTTTATAATTAAACCCAAAAGTGTTTGACATGGCACACGTGAATGTTAAAAAACCTGTACTTTAAAAAAGTGAGAAAGACTTATTTGGTACTTTTGTAATATGAAAGGGTAGTTTTGGTATTTTAATTTTTTAAAATTAGTTAATGAGACATAAGAACAATAAAGACAAACTTGAGGGGGCTATATTATTGGATTGGTGGTAGTTAATCAACGGACAAAAGCATTGAAATTTGAATAAAAAGAAAGGATGGAGATGATTGAAAAGAATAAGGGAAAGGAAAGGAATGGAGAGGAAAGGAATCTATTTAATAAAGAAAAGGAAATATGATTCCTATAGATAATTAGATTGCGATATGGTTTAATAAGATCCTAAATGAGAAAATGACAATACAACATCTAATCAAAATAAAAATAAAATAAATAAATGATAATACATAACATGAGAATCATGTGGCCATTTTCAATTACGTGCCGTGCTTGCTATATTTTGCTTGCGATTAGAAAATTATTGTAACATATTAAGATTTTATATGATTTGCTAATTTAGAGATATCATTTCCTTTCACTCTTGAGAGAGACAATTCTTGATTAATAATAATTCATTTCGATATGATATATATACGAGTAAATAGCAATTGTTGTTATGTCATGTCTAGTTGATTTATTTGTAATTTTTTAACTAAAAAGATACAAATTGGTTGTCTAAACTAATAATTTATTATAAAATATAATCAAGAAATTTCTTGTCACATTGAAAACAGAATAAAAAAAAACTTTTAAATAACTCTGAATGCAAATTAACTTATCATCTATACAAAACGTTACAAAAAGGATCCTTCCGATTACCGGATCACATTTTTCGGCGTATGTTGATTCACGCGCGGGTGTATTTTTAAATAATGCCCAAATTACCTTTTTAAATGACTATTATACTCTGCAAAAGTTCAAAAAACCCCCTAAACTATCAAGAAAGTGAAAAATAACTCTTTGGATTATCTCGGGTTGCAAATCAAACCCTGAACTATACAATTTATTTTTGTTATTATTTTAAATTATTACTACCACCACCACCGCCACCGCAACCACTATTATTATTATTATTATTATTTTGATAATTTATGAGCTTGGAAAAATTGTTTATAGGTATATGAATCTGTCAAGCAACTAATCAAGCAATTTATTTTTGTTATTATTTTAAATTATTATTATTATTATTATTACTACTACTACCACAACTAGTTCTATTAATATTATTATTATTAGTTATTATTATTCTTATTTTTATTATTATTCTAATTTTTTTTCTCCTTGCATAACTTATATAATAAATGGTGTCGGTTCTTGATGATATTTGATGGGGCTTTGGAATGGAGTTTATTTATTTATTTTTTAAACTGGTTCACTGATAGGATTGGACTAAACTCTATTACCATGGTAAAGACATGTGAGAGAAACTATATCACAGTAATTTGATATAATGAATAAAATTATAGTTTTAAAAGAAATATTAATATGGTTAATATGATTAATATTCATTATAATAAGATTATTAATTAATTAATAGTTATATTATAATTGAGTTTTCCTTTATAATTAAACCCAAAAGTGTTTGACACGGTACAACATGTGAATGTTAAAAAATTGTACTTTAAAAAAGTGAGAAAGGCGCTTATTTGGTACTTTTGTAACATGAAAGGGTAGTTCTGGCATTTTAATTTTTTAAATTAGTTAGACTCCTGACATCCCAAACAGTCAACTAGCAATAGGGGTGCCAGAGCAAAGTTGACGAAACATAAGGAACATAAGGAGAGGTTGAGGTTTTTTTTTTTTTTTTTTGGCTAATTTAATCTGAGAGTAATAGAGACAAACTTGTGGATTGTCAGACCAATTCACCCTTATTATTATTATTGATATTGTTTATTATTATTAGTCAAAATTGCAAAAAAAATTCCTAAAGTATGAGTTATTATTTACAAGATGGCCCTGAATGGTATCATGGGTATTATATATTTTTTTTATAGTTTATAACTTTTATATAAATTAATAAGTGGAGTTGTTTTAGTAATTTTGACTCTGTAGGTGCTAGAAAACGTAGTCGGGTGATCGAAAAGATCTTTTTACAACATTTTATATAAATAAAGATTAATTTATTACCGAGATAGTTCAAGAATTATTTTTCACTATGGAGACTTCTTGCACTTTTGCCAAGTTTCAACTTTGTAGAACCCTTAAATAAACCAAATATATAAAATAGTACATCAATCACAATGAAAACACCAGGGCGTGTTCCTACCTAGGGTGGGCTAGCATCAAATTTTGACCACCTTTTTTCTTAAAAGAAGAAAAAGACTTGTTACAAAGGTGTGTTGACGCAAATTAAAATACATAATTTAGTATAAAAATTAAAGAGCCATCTTGTAACTTCCATTGGGCAAAAAGCTAGATGCAGATTGGCTTCCAATGGAAGAAGCAATTTCAAATAATTTAGTATTATTTTTGAAAGAATAGCCTTCTTATTTTTGAAAGAATAACGAGTGAGGAATTTGAAGGGATGAGTTGTCCAAATCTCTCTCGTTTAGAATAACGAGTGAGGAATTTGAAGGGATGAGTTGTCCAAATCTCTCTCAAACGAGAAAGACTTCCCTAGATGATGCCATCGGGATCTCTGTCATTTAATTGTTGTTGATACCATGTCATCAAAACACAAATACCACTGTCCCACTTATTATTTTCTTTTTTTTCCTTCCAAATCCACCAACCCAAACAGAGCCTAAGGAGTTGTTTAATTCAGTTTTCTGAGAACTAAAAATCAGAAAGTTATACAAAAATTTGTTTGGCTATCAGTTTTTTAAAAATATTTCCTGAAAACTCCTCTAAAAACAGTTTTCTGTTTTATAAGTTCTTGAAAATTATTTTCAAAAAAGCTTAACCAAACAGGCCCTAACTTTCCATTCAACATGATGAAAATGTAAATTAAGAACATGTCACTATAGCATTCAGTTATCATCTCCATTCTAGACTACCATTTTTCTTTTTCCCTGCAAATCGAAACACAAATATTAAAAAGAAATAATAAAGAATACAAGCCGGTGGCTTAATAGAATTGAATCTGAGATGATAAATAGTAGCAAGGCAAGTTTGACGCATATTTATGATTCCTGTATGTCAGGTGGCTAAGACACTAAGAAAAAAAAAATGTAGAACAATACAAACAAGTAATCCTATTGCAATTCAAAATCCTAGCTCATGATTGACGATGACTTCATAAAAGGTCTCGGCATACAACACAAATCTTATTTCAGCCAACAATGGCAAAGCAATCGAGCATTCTTTCACAACAACACGAAATGTTTAGATGACACAGGAAAAAGATAGTACTTATTCTAGTATAGTGAAAACTTACAGGAAAAAGTAATTGTTTTATTCATTTATTCAATGTAACAAGCAAAGGAAAAATAATGGTTGATAAATAATCCTTTGACTCGTAATGGGTCATAACAAGAGCTTTAAACAGAAAATATGAATCATGCCACAAATACACTCAATAATCAGATATTTATGCCGGCTGACTCGCGTATTGGTTCCATGGGTGGTTCCTTAAATTCTGGATTAGTCAGAGGCAGATGACATTGCGCATATTGTGCCAATAGTTGATCCACAAGAACTAGGGCTACCATGGCTTCCACCATTGGCACCGCTGCACCGTCAGCACCAAAAGTCATGAGCAACTTATAATAGGTATTTTACTTTCATCTTTGTTCTTTTTCTTAACACGGGTGTGTTTTTGTGTGCAGATGTTTTGGATAGAATCAAGATTAATGAACAAGGCCATAAATCAACCACAATGCCCTTGTACAATAACTGATCATAGCAACCAATTAAGAGTTCTCAAAGAATCCGGCCATTCTGGTTTATATCATGAAGAAATTGAAAATAAGAAACCCCAGATTGCTATGATCTATAGGATATGGTTGCTGAAAATTTAAGGATATTAATAATAAATAAAAAAAAGAGACAGCTGAAGGATAAGGAACAACAAATGATTCAAAGACACACCTCGTGGAACGACACAAGGATCATGGCGACCGCGGGCTATAAGCTCCGTCTCTTGTTTATCCCTAGTCACTGTATTCTGTTTCTTCTGCATGAGCATCACAAAGTAACATATCACTTTATATTAATGAACAAAGAAAACCTCCCTGAAACAGTTTTAGAGTCGGAATGTATATTTCAATACAACATAATAGCCTAAACCTCAGCAAACTCCTGCTGATTTTTTTTTAAATTAACCTAGATGGATCAAAGGCTCAATGGCATAAATGTAGGCAGGAGGGTACTCACACGGTTCACAACTTGTAGTTTGATGAATTTACCTAAGAGATGTAACTAAAACCCAGAAATATCCAAAGTTAAATCATAGCAGTCCATAGCACAGAAATTGTCCTGAAAAAGACTATAGCATCCTTAATCACATGCCTGAGAGTCACATGGTACACGAGATAGAGCCAGCCCTCTCAATCAATTATTCTATGTGGCCCAAAAACATATTGTATCAATAATAAGTACTGGAAATTAACCAGAACCTCCATATAAAATGGACATGCTCTATTTCAGCTAACCAACCAATCAACCAATGATAAGATTCTCATTTTTTCTGAACAGAATTTGAACCGAAGACCCCAACGCAAACCTAAAGATGCCTATACTGTCCTGCCACGATGACATTGGATACAGCTATACGAGAGAGAGAGACAGAGAGAGAGAGAGCTTACTCCAATAGTAGATGTAGGCTTAAAAGCTATTCTCATGTTTATGATTTCTCCATTGGATATACCTCCCTGGTCGTCAACAAAAAATAATCTCAACAAAACCACACATGTTCCAATGAAAAAGTCTTAACTAATTAGCCCCACAAACAAATCCACATGATTAAAGTATATAACAGATACCTGTATCCCACCAGAGCGGTTTGTTCTTGTCCTGATTTGCCCATTTTCATCAATATAGAACTCATCATTATGCTCACTCCCGGTCATAAATGTTCCTGCAGAGATTTTCGTAGACATGCAGTCAGATATTACAAAAAATCTGATTTAAAAGAGTTATCCAAACACAGAAAATGCATTAAGTTATTATCCCCTGGTCAGTTAAGTAATTTTAATAATTTTTAGGTAAATGCAAAACTGATTACTGCATATGTTTTTTTACCTGCAAAGCCACTTCCAAACTCGAAGCCCTTTGTAGCAGGTAATGAAAGAGTAGCTTTAGCCAGTTCAGATTCAAGTTTATCAAAGACTGGAGAACCAAGCCCCTGACATATAATAATAAATATCAAAACATCTGTTAAAGGTTTTAAAGTTTCAAGAACCGATGCAGTCTAATTTCAAAAAACCGCCCAAGACTCTGACATTGTGTATATCTAATTGGGGAGAGAGAGAGAGAGAGAGAGAGAGAGCGAGCTTACACGTGGTGGATTTCTCACAATGCATGTGACAACACCACCAACAGAATCCCCTCTCACTCGGACAGCGTCAATGGCTTCAATCATCTTAACCGCATAATCAGTATTTGGGCACCTTACAATATTACTCTCTACCTGGTGATGTTTCATAGAGGCCAAGATTTTAAATAGGTTAACGGATAACAAGAATTAATTATAAATAATAACATAGAATTGGTGCTATCAACAAAATTCAGCAAAAATGGTGGAAATAATTCAAAAAACTTCAAGCACAAGTTAAATGCTTGGACATTTTAATTTCAAATGTAGATTGCTAAGGTACATGGAGTGGTAGATCCGTGACATATATTACATGGTGTAGCAGGGTAGCTTAAAATGATGTCAATTTCTGAGATAATTCCAATTTGTGATACCGTTTTCGTTTTACCCACAAGATGAATAGTTACAACTAGTTTACTAACAGAATTAATTATAAATAATAACATAGAATTGGTGCTATCAACAAAATTCAACAAAAATGGTGGAAATAATTCAAAAAACTTCAAGCACAAGTTAAATGCATGGACATTTTAATTTCAAATGTAGATTGCTAAGGTACATGTAGTGGTAGATACGTGACATATATTACACGGCGTAGCAGGGTAGCTTAAAACGATGTCAATTTCTGAGATAATTCCAATTTGTGATACCGTTTTCCTTTTACCCACAAGATGAATAGTGACAACTAGTTTACTAACAGAAAGGTAAGTGTATTATAAATTTATAAAGTTACAGATGTTATGGTCCTTACACATTCTCCTAAACGAAGGGAAGAAATACGAGAGAACTTGGGACCAATCAATTCGGTCTCTCTCTCACAGTGGAAGAAAATCAGCAAAACCATTGTAGCACAATAATGACGTGTTGGTATGACACCTAAAGAATGAGATGGTGTTATGGGTTCACTTTTATAAACTTTGTAAACTTGAGTTCATGCATTACTTTTAATGTAGTTAATAGTTACTACAAAATCTAAAACCACAGTACTTTGTCTTTCTTCATTGTCTCACCAACATCAACTTGGGCCTCATCGACATGAATCTTAATTTGTTATTTGCTATGTCTAATGTCATAATTTTAGTTACACTTACACCCTAAGGATTTGCTCTAGTTTTGTCAGGAATCATGTTAAAGGGTTTAACAAAGAATTTTACGTCGTTTATCAGCTATCTACAAGCAGCGCTTTTTCTCCTAACTAACAACAGACTATACAAAGAAAAAGAAAAAAAAAGTCACCCTAACTCCATTCTTGTCATTCTTAAAGCAGGACAAAGGACTCAACATCGCTAACCCTCAAAATTAAATCTGTTATTTTAAATAATACCGACAATCTATGGCAAAGTTCGGGATAAATATAAAGCTCAGATTGAGTACGTCATGGAACTCAAATTAGATGGGATGACGACAACGACAACGGATGAAGAAACTCAATGTATAGTCTAATTAACTAATTGAGTTACTTACTAGACTAAACAATCCCTTAATCCAAAGATACGATTAAGTTATATACACAATTTTTAAAAGATGATCTTTTGACTACATACAAAAGTAACAAGCAGAACAATTTTCAGTTTATCCAAATCAATTGTTGAATTTTTTAATAAATTTTCACATCTTTTCTTTCTTTATATGTGTGTGTGTGTGTATATTTATATAAACCATAAGAGTTTAAACAAAACCTTAATTAAATAAAAAATAAATAAAAGATGATATTTTTTACAGTATACAAAAGTAACAAGCAGAACAGTTTCATTTTTTCCAAATCAATTGTTGAATTTTTTAATAAATTTGCACATCTTTTCTTTCTTTATATGTGTGTGTGTGTGTGTGTCTATATAACCATAAGAGTCTATTAGCCTTCTCTTTGCACCCAAATTAGTCCCCAATTTGGTGCCCATGGCCACAGCCATGGATCACCATTAAACGGCCGGACACTCTTACTCCACGAGAAACTAAACCAAAAATCTCTATGGGCATATCTTGGGTCGTTATGGTGCAACGCCCTTCTTAATGCCAAACCCGCTACATGGGCAATGCCCGTTGTTATGTATTTTGCCCACTACTTGGGGTCACGCCAGTTGACATGGCTACGCCAGTTACCATGGGAAAAAACTAACACGGAGAATGTTTGCGGCAAACTTTGGGTAACACCCGTTCCTTGTACAACGTCCGTTCAGGGTGCATCTGTCGTTCAAAGTGCAGTGCCCATTCCTTGACCACCCGTTGCTTGTGCAATGCCCGTTGCAACGCCCAACACTTGTTCTTTGTACAGCACCAGTTGCTTGGGCAACATCAGTTGCTTGTGCCGCACCAACAGATATGTAGTCAAGCAACTTTCTAGGTCATCTATTTTTTAGTTTCCACGCCTGATCATAGCATCGCCACTCATGTCGTCGCTTAGTGACTTCATCGCTTTGGACTATTGCCCAAATTCAAGCAACGATATTAAAGGCGTTGGGCTAACGATATTAAATATATATGCATGCCTTTCATGCATTTAATGAGAATAACATTCCCAAGGTGCTTTGTCTCCTCAAAGAGCTAGTAACCATGTTCATTAGAAAATCGAGTGCTGCTTGATGATTTCTCCATGGAGCAAGGGACAAAAGGACAGCCACTTGTCAACTTCTCCATGGACCAAATACGTGAGAGGACCAATTTCTCAAGGCCTAACCAATCCCATCAGCTCATGTATGTCGCCTACAAATAGAAGGTCTCTTCCAATGGTTCAAGGAGATCACGCAGACGATCAATGAAGCCCTTGGCTTGATCTTGTTCAAATTCCTGCAGCTTGTATTTATTGTATTCGGTAGTTTTCTTAAATTTTAGCCCATGCTTTATCTCTTCAAGCTCCTATAACTTTTATCTTTGTTTGTATTTTACTTTCAATGTAATTCCCCCCAATATTCATATGAGCAGCCCTACAATCCACAACACACTTCATACCCGTTTGACCACCAACCACTAGGTGACAATTTAAGTCAATGTTACCAAAGCATGAGCGACCCAGTAAGAGGGATCTCCCTTGCCTCCTCGCAATCGCCTGAACAAAATCTTGATATATTTAGGCCGACCCAAGGGAATATTTTACGAGCACACCGACTCTAGCATGCCCGTGAACGCGAGGGAACCAATTTTGTGCAAACACCTTCATATCTCACGTCCACTCATCTCCATTTCTATCTGCGCTCTCAAATCTATGTCTGTTATCCCATTGATTGCAGATGTTATATTTAGGCATCATTTTTTTTTTTTTTTTGCTGGTGTTTGGGGTTTTACCAATGTGATTAGGAGATATATTAGTAAATTTTGCATAATGTTACATTCATTTTAAGTCATTCATTAGTTCATAAATTCTTTATAAGGGTAATCTGGGCCTAGATTTGAATTTTGGATCTAACTCTCCAAATTAGAAAATCATAAGAATCTCAAATTGGTTAGGACTCGGATTTTGTTCATAAGGTCAGATCTGAACTTGGATTCTGATATGGACTCCGAAATTGGAATATTGATCTGAAAAAGGGTTTACATGGATTTACTACAGATCAAATTCATTTCATGAGGATAGTCCATGTCAAAAAGTTAAAATTTTGACCACTAAGATCTTACCAAGATGGCATTCTCAAAAGTTATATTAATGATTATGGGCAGAAGTCCATATAAATTAAGTGCATATCTGAGTATACCATGCTCCACAACTAGGATCCAAATCCAGAGAGGTGAAATATTATTGAAAACACTGGCCCTCACATGCAGGGGAGCTCGACTGCCTTGGAAACTGGCAATGGGTGTTCATAATTGCTTGATAGTTGATTTCCTCCCCAGTTCATGCGACATTAAAGTTTAATTTCCATGTTTACAACATTGATTCAACAGCACTTGCATCACTCCTCTTGTAGAACCACACTACCCAAAAAATAAAAATAAATTAAAAATTAAAAAAACAATAAAATGATACCTGATCGAGTGTCAGAGTCTGATGATCTACCTTGTCCTCTGGAAGTACAACGTTGTAGACTTGGGAGACATAAGCAAGAACCTGAAACATTACAAACAATAAGGCATAGATATATGAGCTCCTGGTTCTTATTATTCATACAACTGTGAGGTGCAATTTATTGTCGTACCAAGTCCATCACATAAAACTCGAACCTCTCCTTCAAGAAGGAAAATAAAGATGTAATGTTGCTAACTTACCAAACTACTTAAAGTTTCCATCCATGCATAATTATGGAACTACAAGGCCACATTATATGAAGTATACGTATATCGAGGCATAATGATCAGATAGACAACCATCAACATGAAGAAATAATTTGGGTTTATGATGTCTTTCCGTGTGCATGAAACACAGTCTCATATTCTCAAAGTATCATTAAAAAATACTCCCTCCGTCCCAAAATAGTTGGGTACTTTGGGAACTGTGACTTTGGGACAGAGGGAGTAATAATAATACGGTGCACGAGGCTCCTGCCACTGTGGGATCTTTGGGAGGGTCAGATGTACGAACCCTTACCTTTACATGCAGCGAGGTTGTTTTCCTTTTCAAACCTACACCCTCCAGTCGCAATGAAGCAACCTTACAGTTGTGCCAGGTCTCACCCTCTTATAATGCCATTAAAAAATAATAAATAAAATCAACCCACCCACGCCAATTATAAAACCCACCTCAGTTCCTGAAAATTGCTTGAGAATTTTTTTAGCAACAGCTCCAGCTGCAACTCTACCAATGGTTTCTCTGGCTGAAGATCTACCACCACCCTACATTTCCATCAACACCATGACAAAAATATTACATATATGAAAATAGAACCTCAATTCACATAGTTTACAGCTATCATAACAACAAGACTAAAAAAGATGTTACCTGAATTGATCTCACACCATACTTGATGTCATAAGTCGCATCTGCATGAGAAGGCCTATAAGCCATTGACATTTCAAGATAATCCTGATAAATCAAATAACATAATGAAACCTTAGAATCACCATGATACCAACAAAACATGAATGCTCATAATTTATTATAAATCCCAATAATGTCATGGGGTCCATGGGGTGTTTGGGTGAAAATGTGGCTTAGACCCATTTGTAATTGTATCCTACATGCCTTACTAAATTCACTATTACCATACTTGAGGTCATAAGTGGCATCTGCATGAGAAGGCCTATAAGCCATTGACATTTCAGCATAATCCTGATAAAATCAAATAACATCATGAAACCCTAGAACCACCATGATACCAACAAAACATGAATGCTCATAATTTACTATAAAACCCAATAATGTCATGGGGTCCATGGGGTGTTTGGGTGAAAATGTGGCTTAGACCCATTTGTAATTGTATCCTACACGGCTTACTAAATTCACTATTATCCCCCCTAATTATTTCATTTATACCAAAATTACCACTATTTAGCTCTTTTATCTATCACCTGGGCACATTTGGCCATTCCTCTGCAGTGGAATGCTTCCAATTCCTCCACTGGATAAACGTGGATTCAACCCCTTGAATAAAGGCTATTACCCAGTATTAGTCCCGTTAATGCACAGTACTACAAAGGGCTAACTGGATATATTTGAATGATATACCCTCAGACTAGAAGTCATGTTCCCACGATTAGGTCTGAATATTTTACAGTTGCACCAAGTTGGCCCGTAAAGCGCCATAAATAAATAACAGAAATAAAGATAGCACTACATTTTACAATAATATAAAACTAAAATCTCATTTCATGGTATTTCAAAAAAGCTCTTCAATAAGAAATAAATACAAACACATCGAGAATGCAAGTTGCAACAAAATTCACATCAATGGGATGCATTCATCTCCATGGAGTGCCAAAAAACAGTAAACATCATTGTTCTTGTCCAATTGATCACATCTCATAACAGATCCTGCCCAACAGGTGCCCCACCCCACTCAGTCCAAAGTTCTAACTGATATAAGTCCCAGGAATACAGAACGTTCAAGAACACAGATCTGTTAGCCATTCCAAAACAACCATATTTCCTCATTGTAATTTTTTCCACTACGACCCACAACAGATAAGTCGCAATATTTGATACTTACATGTCCTCTCTGATCTGTGTTGGGTACATTTACCATGATTGGAGTTCCGGTAGTCACCCCTGCAGGTCATACATCAATCATCAGTCTACTTGAAGAAGATCACAAGCACCATCTCTTTAGTTGAAAAAAGGAGGAATAGAGAAGAATGTTTGTAAAGCATAAAGTGCATAAGAGAAATGTCAACTAACCTTCAGCAACACCTGAATATATTTTGCATGTGTCGGTCTCTTTTCTAGGCGTAGTAATTCTGCTCTGACCTGGCCTCCTGGATCCAACAACTTTAATTGTAAATTCACGAGCATTTGCATTAGTATGATATCATAATTCACTTTTCAAAAATGCATATTCCATGACAAGCACGAAATCACATTCCCATTGGTTTGGGGGAGAGGGGAGTTTGGAAAGGAGGGGAGACGAGAGAGAGCATGATAGAAAGCAGTAGCAGCTGCTGAAAAAATGATTCTAATTATGGCATAAATTGGCAGATAATGTTCCGAAATACTTGGTTCAAATTTGCAGGGACAGAATACCAGACAAATTGTCTAACTAAGCTTTTAGAAATAGGGTAATATCAAACGTGAGTCCATGAGGACCATGCATGGAAATACCTTCTGTCAAGATCAGTTTGCATATCCGCTTCTGAGATAGAAAGCCGAGGTGGACATCCATCAATTACACATCCAACGCCCCCACCATGAGATTCCCCATATGTTGTAACTCGAAAATAAGTTCCAAATGTACTCCCAGCAGCCTGAATCTCTGTGAATCAGTGTGCAATATGTCAAATTTTAAGCTCTAACTTAGATCAGGTCAAGCAGGCAAGCAGAAGCATTCAAAAACAAACAAATAAATTCTCCCGTCAGGAAAATATTTTGAACAAGCCTTTAGGATTTTATGGCAAAACTTGTTCTGCATGCAGATTGATTCTTCAAATGTTTAAAGCAAAACTTATCTTACAGGAAAACTCTCAGCATAAACATACACAAGTTTTGAAACTAAAAGGCTGAAAGAAAATGATAGATTAAATCAGCATATCATATTGCTACTTAAACTGTGATAATAACCAGCAAGCCTGCAACGGTGCAACCTCTGTAGTGGCATGGACTGATCCCGATTAATAACCAGATACTGAATTTAAGTACAAAATAATATTTCAACAGTCCAAATTCTGTATTTTTTTAATAATTTCTTAATCATGCATCACATATCACACATTTTTTCAATCGTCGATGTCACCAATCGGCCAAAACATCAGCTTACAGAATACATGGTACTACACCCATTATTAAATGCAATAGCATTTTATTACCTCCAATCAAAGATTCACTTGTTTGATAATGATACTCCCATCAAGAAATGCAACATAGTTTGATCAAATGAACAATCAACAAGGTCATGCTTGATAGTGAAGGGGAAAGCATATGCTAGGTTTTTATATTAGTTAAGGACACTCTGCAGACTATTTTTTAAAATCTAAGATCCATGTCAAATGCTTTACTGTTGTAGAGATTGGCAAACTCTAATGTAGTGAACTTTCTTTAATTTTTTGACAAGTTGAAAGTAGTGAAATTTCTTTATTTTCTTTAATTGGCAAGTCGAATACGGAATTTTCTTAAATCATTGTATGTTTTAAGAAATATATATAATGCTCAATTATTCGTTCATAGCTTGCGTGCTTTATAAATGTTTTGATAAATTCTTCAAATGTATTAATAAATCTTCTTTGTCCGGATATCAATAGCAAGTTGCATTGTCGATGCCAACTTGCATCGGGGCCTATGGGAACCTTGACTAACTTATAGGTTGCAAAACAGGGAAGTTTGATCCTACGAGAAACTTAGCAAAAAACTCTTCCTTCTATTATCTAGAAAAATTTCAACAAAAAATAGACACATTTGGGATACAGTTACTTATTTCTACAAGAAAATGATCAAACCCTATAAAAACAACTAACCCAAAGTGCATTATGTAACGACTCACTTCACCACATGGTATGATATTGTCTGCTTTAGGCCCGAGCCCGCACGGTTTTGATTTTGACTTTACCCCAAAAGGCCTCATACCATTTAGAGTATACAATTCCTACATATATAGCATTTCCCCTTTCCACATAGCATACCAATCCTACATATATAGCATTTCCTCTTTCTGCACCCACGTGATGTGGGATTGTGTACCCGTAGCCTACCAGTGCCTCGCTCACACCCGCCCATGCACCCCCACCCACAAGGTAGCCACAATCCACCCCCTGAGGGGCCTGACGTCCTCGTCGGTAACGACCCACTCCACCACATAGTATGATATTGTCCGCTTTGTACCTGAACCCGCACAATTTTGTTCTTGAGTTTTACCCCAAAATGCCTCATTCCATCAATCTTGCATATATAGAACTTTCTCTTTCCACAAAGTGTATCAATCCTACATATATAGCACTTCCCCTTTTCACACTTAGACGATATGGGATCATGAAACCGTAGCCTGCCAGCATGGTAGCTTGCGAGTGCCTCGCTTGCACCCGTCCACAAGATCGCCACACATCAAACTTCTCAAAACCCATAAATAATTTGCCTATAACTCCTACAACACAATTTCAGAGTGAAAAAGAAATGACTTGTGAAACAGTATGGTTCTCATACGCATCAAAATTTGAAAACTAACAAGTCCCCAACATCAGTAAGTGTTTCCCACAAAAGAACTGAAACACCATAAAGGTTCTTATTTTAGAAAAAAAATTGAATTATAAGTCAATCCACTCCATCTGTTGATCAATGACAATAGTTAAATTCCTCCATCACTGGTCCCCAGTGCATAATTTAACTATCAAGTCAGTTTCTGCTTTCAAAATATGTAATAAGATTTGAAAAATAATATTTTGTGCCCACAAAGTTGCTGAAAGAGTTGGCCGAATGAAGTGGATGAGAGAAAAAATATTAGATAATATCATTTGAACCCCAGATGAATGTATCAGATGAATGAATGGTTGAGTTCCGTTCAGCTTCTATAGTATACTGTATTATTTTAGTGCCTATAGCTCCAAATAGCAAAGAAAAGTGACATTTATGCAAGTTGATGAAATATTTTAGCCACACAACACACTATCATTGACGTCAATTGTTGTCAATCACTTCAATTTCAGTAAATCAACATTAACAACTTCACTTCACTGAATTTCTGAGAATGTGCAGGAAAGGGAAAATCTTTTAAATGTATATCCTTCAGTCTGCACTCTTTGAGACCTAAGGAGCAACACCCCTATTCGATTAAGCTAGATTTAATTACTGGGTTTCAATTAACGAAGCTCACATTCTTAGAGACTAAAACAACACATAAGAAAAAACAAAGATACAAAAAATTTCTTCTTTTCCTCAGTTTTCACAGAAACCAAACAAAGGTAAGCACACCAACCACGTTAACGACATTCACAAATCTTTCAATTAAGCATACATTTGGGTGCTGAGAAAAAAATCATATAAAATAAAATAAGATCTCAAACCTTCTGCTTTCGCTGAGAATATGAAACAGAGCAGCTAAAAGACTAAGGGCTTTAATTGGAGAAAGGTAAGGGATGGTCAGAGACTCACCGAGTTTCTTGGGATGTGATCGGCGAGATGGGATTTGGAGAGACGAAAGCTTCCCGATATCCGACGATTGGATAGATCCGAAACCAGCCGATGGAGCCCCGAGAAATTGTTTGGTAGGGAGAGACGACGCCATTGTTCGTCGTCTGACTTCTCCAAAATCTAGCACTATACGTTACAGGAGCTGCGTTTGCTGTGTGATACGAATTTGTGTTTGTGCGTGTCTGACTTGCAATAACGGGAAATGGTTTGGTGGGGAATTGTAGCGGTGGGTGTTGAATGAAATTTGTAGTTTAGATATATATATGACTTGCAATTTGCAAAAGGGGTTGGTTGGTGTTGTAGTGGTGGTTGTTGTTGGGCTGTTGGGGATTTTTGTAATTTAGATATGCATCAGTGCCTCACCTACCCTCCACATTTTGCACAACCCAGGTCAAATTTTAGGTAGGGCTGCATCTCCGGGGTTTGGGCGAATTGGAGTCACAATTTGAGAGTTATACAATACTTATGGACCAATAATAAATAGAGAACAATTCGTATTTATTGTCACCGTGAAAATTTACACCATACTTATATTAATGTGAACTAATAATAAATATACATGTAATTTTTAATTACCAAATTTAATATGATGAAATAAATATCCACCTACCAAATCAGTGGTGATTTAATTATCATTTATGATTTAATAGTTAAAATAGAATGTGTCCATTTATTATTGGTTAATATCAGCAGTTAGTGTTGTGAGGACCTAAATATTATTCTTAATTTTAATTCAATTTTTACTCGGAATTCAAATATGATTATTCAAGTCGAATCCAATTTATGATTCATCCTTTTATTCTTAAACTCAAGTTCACAATTGAAACGAGATTTCAAAAATCGGATTAATTCGGGTTAGCAATGTGATGTGACCAATCTTTTCACTCAAATTTTAAACTTATCTTTGAATTAGTTTAAGATTAAATTATTCCAAAACACATAAAAAAGAAATTTTAAAAAACCCTCCTAAGTATTAACGTATAATAAATTAAGAATTAAACAAAGGAAGTTTAAAAGAAAATAAGTGGTCATAATATTTAAAATATATATAATATTATTTAATAAAAAATATATAAATATATAAAATATTATAATTTGGGTTCGAGTTGTCCTGCCCAAATTACACCCCTGATTTTAGGTTTATTGTTAGAGAATGAGGGTTTTGTCCCGTTTGTGAAAACCAGTCATTTTTTAAATTGAGTTTTTTTTTTTTAAATTCTCTTAAAAAAACTATTATATTTGGTTAATAGTTTTCTAAAGACTGTTTTTTTAATATCAATTATATTTGTAATTCTTAGTTATTCAAAAACACAAAACTCACCATCATTATCCTTGTCTTAATTCATATGAATGCATAAATTCTCTATTTTTAATTTTTTATATTACATGGCATCTCACTTAATTATTTAAAAATTAATAAAAATTGATAATAATAAATAATAATAATAAAAAAAGAAGAAGAAGAAGAAGAAGAATTAATGTGACCAATTTTATTTATTTAAATGAAAATGTAAGGATAATAATTTGACCTGTCAAATCAATAGGATTTTGATCCGGATCAGATCTAAATATAATTTGATAACTGAGATATGGATTAAAGATTTCATCTAATAACTCGTTAACGTTCCAAATTCTAATATTAGATGAATAATCCTTGTTCGTCATTCTCCATTTAATAGGTTATTGTGTGGGCTGATCCATTGCAGATGCCCATTCCGTTGTGAACATAATACAATGGGCTACTTTTTGGGCTGTTGACCCACCGAAAACCAAACTTTTCTTTCAATTCTACACAGACCAGTGTCTTCATCTCCATCCCTCAACAAAATTGAATGTGTGTCCAGCACAGGTCCAATTAAATAAGCAGTATTTTGAGCACGTTTGGATTCTACTTCGAGCACACAAAGGGCTTGTTTGGTTTGTTACTTAACAATAATTCTGAAGAACTCATCAAATATAAAATTATTTTCAGAGAACCTAAAAGATAGTTCTTTAAAAATAGTATATATATATTTTTTAAATGGATCTATTTTCATAAAACAATTCTCAAAAACTGTCAACAATATATATTTTTGTACAATTTTTTAATTTTCAATATTAAAAAAATAGAAAACTAAAAAGCAGGCATTACTACTCTATAGACACTCGGAATTTATAACAATTTTTTATTTCTGAAAATTTCACACAATCATATATCATATTATTTTTATATTTACATTTTTAGTAATATTTTATACTATTTTCACATAACTAAATTAATTTTTATGAAGGGAATATCATATAGAGAATAAATAGATAGATAATGAATAGTAAAGAACAAGTTTTTTGAACAATAGATGTCTTTAAGGTACAACTATAACAATGAGCAATCTCTTAACTTTTAAAATGACAGCCTAAAAGAGACGTAAGATATATTGTCCTTTTAGCCCAGTTGTAATGATTTCTATCGTGCCATGGAGGTCTATGGGTAGATTGACCCTCCAAATATTGGTTAAACCCGTTGTTTTGATACCAATTGTTGCTCAAACAATGAGTCAAGAGGGGTGAATTGAGTTTTTTTTTTTTTTTTTTAAGCAAACGATAGATGTTTTTCCGATTTCAAAAACATTTAAAAGAAATTTCTCAAATTGAATTAAAATTGACAATAGGCATAGAAGGGCAGAACTATAAAGTGATGCTCCCAAAAAAAGACCTCCTATAATTAGTGAATCACAAAATAGTAAAAAGATACGTGACCCCTCAAAACTTATAAATACCTCAATTTAATTGAGTCATTCTGATTTTTGAGTATTATTTTAGAAACCTACATTTGAAGGAAATGGACAAAATTTTCAAATATAACACTTATACCTATTACAGTATTATTTTTCTTTTTTCTTTTTCTTTTTTTTTTTTTTTTCATATTATGAGATGTTTCTAGCTAAATTATAAAAAAAAAAAAAAAAAAAAAAAAAAAAAAAAAAAAAACTGTTTTAGATTCACCTTCTGAAAATTGTATTATTAAAAAAAAAAATTTGAATACATTTTATAATTTATTTTTATTATTTTTTTACTGTTAATTTGGTTCCTCCATATAAAATTTATAGGTTCGTCCTTGCATACATGCATGGCTGTCATAATCAGGCATGTGCAATACAACAGCATGAGGCAAGAAAAGAAAAATGGAAACAGAAATTATTATTTTTATTAATATTATTATTGTCCGACAATAAATTTTACAATGTTCTTGAGAAGACTTGAATTTTTTACCTTTCACCTTATATATATATATAAAACTAGATCATAAGATGATAAGTCTTTGTTTGCAAATCTTTGTCCAAATTTTATACAGTAACATTTAAGAATAATTTTAATGATCATTACTCATACCATACCCTTTTTTATTGAAAATACGTGCAATTTCATATGCATCAAAATGATTGTTAAAGAATATAAATAAATAAAGTTGCACACTCTAACTAATATTTTTTTGGGTAATTGATAGTTAACATGATATCACACCCCTATGTTGTTTGTTATTGCAATGGAGGTGCTACATTATGTGTTAATGGTCACATTGAGACTAATCCTATGTTTAAATTCCATTAGAGATGCAAGAAGCTGTCAATCACCCATCTCACATTTGCAGATGACATTATGATGTTCTCTTATTCTAGCTTGTCCTCAGTCCAAGTGTCGATGCTCTAAACCAATTCTTCAATGTTTCTGGACTACAACTTAATAGAGCAAAATGCAAGTGTTCTTCTCAGGGGTTGACACTGCTTTGAAGACTGCTATTTTATCTTTACTCCAATTTGAAGTTAGTTCACCACCTGTTAGGTACGTACTTAGGTCTACCTCTGTCATTTACTTCAATCAAGGCAAGGGATTGTCAAACCCTTGTGAAAAGGATTACTGCCAGAGTGGGATGTTTGACATTAAGATTTTGATTTTACGCTGGGAGGGCTGTCCTTGTTAAATATGTCATTTGTTCCATTCAAACTAATTAATTGGTCTTAGTTATTTGTTCTTCCAAATAAAGTTATTGAGCTGATTAACCAGGTACTAATAAGTTTTTTTCTAGACTCGGGTGGATTTGGAGAACAAGGGAGCTAAGGTTGCTTAGTAAGCCATCGGTAGACCAAGAGTCAATGGGGGTCTTGGTTTCCTTAATTTGGAGTTGGCTAACAGAATTACAAACCTGAAACACATTTGGAAGCTTTGCTTGAGGAAGGATAGTCTTTTGGTGGCTTGGTCCCTTAGCTATCTCATCAAGGCAAAAAACATTTGAACAATCAAGACTTCTACACTTAGCTCAGGTTTTTGGAGGAAACTGTTTGCATTGAGGTCAATGGCTAGAGGGCTCTTAAGACATAGGGTAGGGGCAGGAAATGATACTATATAGTCTATGGTTGGATTACTGGTTGCCTAATGGTCCAATTGTGTAACAGCTTGGACTCACTGGTATGGAAATTCTTCAACTGGATAACAACATCTTAGTTGATAGCCTAATTTCCAATAACCAATGGGTCCGTCCAACTAGGCTCAATTCAGCTGCACCAATTCTTTCAATCTAGAACTTTCATTACACAAATTCGGGGACTGCCTTCATCATCATCTAATCCAAATTTCATTGAATGATTGCCTAGCCTGCAAAATGTTCACAATGTCACATACCCTAAGCTACTTTAACCATCCCTCCCCAGTTTTTCTTTGGCATAAAATAGTGTGGTTTAAACATCATATACCAAAACACAGTCTTATCATATGGCTAGCAGCTTATACACACTGGATGTTAAACCAGTTCTCCACAAGCACTATACAAATTGTTGTTATCTTTCTAACTCAAATTGGGAATCCATTGACCATCTATTCTTCAAATGTAAGTTCACTTCTCACATATGGAGGTTTATCCAAGAGGTTGCTGGATTTTACATCATGCCAAATTGCTGGTCAAATTTTTTTTCCTAGTTGGTATTCACACACAAATGTCTCTACTGAAACTTGAACTCCTGACTTCCCTTTGGGAAGTAAGAGGCTGATACCACTAGACCACCGGCCCATTGGTAATTGCTGGTCAAATTTGATTCCATGGTGCTCATTATATTGGAGTTCATCAAACTTTTTGGTTCACAAACTGTTATGGGCTACAACAGTATATTTTATTTGGATGGAAAGAAATGCAAGAGCATTCAGGAATCAGTTAACTTCCTCATATCAAATTATATCCCAGGTCAAGAACTGTGTTAGAGCCAGACTTGCAACAATCAAGTTTAGAAGTAGTGCAGAATTGAAGCAAATCTCTTCTCTGTCACAGCTGTAGCTTCTCTTCCTGCAGGGT